CATATATATATTTTATACATATACATACATAAACATATATTAAAAATATTTTTTATCACGACAGTATATTTAATACGTACAAATCTTTGCCTGGCAGAACATGGTAAGAATCATTATTCTGATGTAAACTCTTAAAAGTTAAAACTTTTTCTTAAAAGTGAACATGCAAACTTTAGCAGTTTTGTCAATATACATTAAACGAAACTTGTTCTCAGAACGTGGGGGGTGACACCACAGCTGAATAAAGTAGACAGCACCTGTTTATACAACAGTTTAAACAAATGTGTAAATTTCATTTTTGCTTTACAGTACTTTGAAAAATTGTAACAAGGTACAGGCATATCAAATTGGAAAAAATCATATTACATGAGGGGTAATCAGAAGATATTTAACTGTTTGCCAGCAAATCTCTCACTACAGTACAAATAATATGAAATAGTCTTAAACTACAAACTATATTTAAAATCTATAAAAATATAAAATATTTATAAAAACCACCACGAGGAGCACAAAAGACTGACAAATTTACACAAGACCAACTGACCAATAAGCCAAATTATCTGCTGGACCCTTGTGGGGTTACCCACCACTCCCCCCCCCCCCTTTTTTTTTTCCATAAATGAGTGAATGTTTGTACAGTTAAATACCAATACCAAAACTGCATGCAAAGAATACCATTTCAATATACAAATCTTTAACAAAACATTTCCAAACCCATACTCTGTCATCTTGAATTATTGGAAAAAATTTGGGGTAATAAGCGTAGATGAATTGAGCCAATTTGAATAAGCGTAGATGAATTGAGCCAATTTGAAAAAGAATCGTGTTCCTAACTTCAGCCAAGGCTTAACCCACTTGTAACTTGACTACACACTGGTCACCTGCCATGACCAACCAGCCACCTTAACATGCCTCCATATCCCATATATAAATACATTAAAAGTCACATTTTAATATTTGACTTCATAGTGTATTTTTTTGTATTAAACTTGTAATATTTTAATTATTAAAAAAATATTTTTGTGAGCCACAGGCTTTTCATGTGCTGCACAATAATCTAAGCAAGTATTGCATTGATTTGGTCTGAATTATCCCGCAGTGTAGATTAGTTGCTATCTGCAGACAGACAGTAATAACGGGGCTGAATATGACTCCCAACCCACACATCTGAAGATAACGTAACTGTTTCAGTCCATGCTAGGCCATTATTCAGCTGTGTAAGGAAAGACTGGTAGATAAATCAATATACAAGGTAAGAATGTGAGGTCAATCTTGAATGTGCATTAATTTACTTTTTCCCTTTCCTAGATGTACATGTGCACAGCTCTCGCTGTCTACTGCAAGCCTATCTGCAATAGTATGTACATTACTTTTTCTCTTAACACCCACCTGTCAAGACAAAAATTCTTATCCCTCCCCCCCCCGTTGAGCCCCATGCATCAGACACCCTCGCTTTCTGGATTCTGACATTTCTCTTCACTAAAAGTTTCTCTCTCTAACCCTGGTTAGCCATTAAATTTTATTAACTGTGCTATTTCTCAAGCTAAAAACTTTTATCCAAAATCTGCTTCCAACACTAAGTGACAATGATATGACACTAAGATATGACGACCTTCATATCTGAAGAAAAAAATCTCACCAATACCTTTTGTCCTTTTTATATCAAAGTTGCCTTGCGACAGGCCAACACAGACCTGGCTTCCAATGCTGCTGGTGTTAACTTAATTTCCTGTTCCTCTTGTCCTCAACAATACTTTATCATTAAGAGTATGGCCAATTTCACCAGACTAAAATAACAAAAGAAATATAAAGTCTGCAGACACAAACAATGCTCTCTTGTTTCATGTTAAGGATTAATCATCTTGCAGAATGCTTTCCTAAAATAATCTTTCCTGTCTAATACAGTACTCCTCACAGATGCTGTCTTGTCAAATCAACTCTCGATAGACAGCATGTCCAGCATGAACCTGTCCTGGCTTTGTTGCTCTTGATGCTTGCCTTTCTCAGTAGATACAGTAGTTAAATGTTCTAGCCTTCTTAACTAATGTCAACTAACACCTTTAGCCCCTTTAGGGTCTTTCTCTTACATTACTATCTATTTTGTCTTTCATCTCTCTTTGCCATTAAGCCTTTAATTTTCTTTGTTCCTATTAACTCCTATAGTATACTTCAACCTTGTCATCTTTCACCTCACTTTCTACATATTATATCGAGTTTCTCTATCAGTCTTTCTTTATATGGCTTGATAATGGTCCAAGAAAGAAAGTAATGTGCATGGGTTGGGTGTCTAGTTGATACCCAATTATTGGTCGATCACTATAATGATTTATTCATAAACCATCGTCAAGCAGTAAAATAACTAAGGCAGGCACACACACGGGTTTAAGGAGATTGCAGCACACACTGAAAAATACAGTAAATTCCAACTTCATATATCTACACCTACATATACTGAACAATATCGCCACCTCGCACGCCGGATCCCAGTCACATTACAAGCCAAGACTACCCTATACCTGCTGTAACACACCACAAGCAGAATTACAACCCCTATAACATATAATTTACAATATTTGAATGCCACTTCTGAAAATATAAAGTGCTTTAACAATTAACAATGATGAAACATTGTGCACTTTAAGGTATCCACATGCCATACTTGAAGTTGGTTCTTTCAACCAATATTTAAAAATAGTTTTCTTGGCTGCTATTTACAACCTATTAGGAACATTTCCTGGCATTGTTCAGTTTCATCCTCTTCAACAAGATTACATTAGATTGGAAAATAGCCACTAGGGAAATACAGACAAATTTCAACAAGAAGTTTCTTTTTACCATTATATGTAAGTGTTGCAAATATTTTGTCAATATAAAGGTGTGTTCAAGATATTGCACAGAAACAACTTAAAAAGTAAAATTAATAAAAGCGAGTAAGAAATAACATGCCTACATCACTGGATGTTATTCATGTTTCATTACAGGCCACATTTTTATATTTTTATATATTTTACAAGCTAAGCTTAACTTTGAGAGCAAAGCTAAAACAGCAGTCCTAGATTTTTTTTTTAAATTGTTGGACAAAAAAGAACTGGCCCAACTATAACTACTAAGTATTACAAAATTATTAAAGGTAATATAAGATTTTAACAACTGAAAGATGACCCTGCAATTTATGGGTACATAAATAATTACGTAGTTCCACACTGAAACCATGCAAAAAATAATTATTGCATTCACAGCAGTTGCATGTATAGACATACTTTATTTTAACTCTGGGGATGACTTAAGTAGCAGTTCATTAACACACTTAGAAGGATGCCCACAAAAATGTTGAGGTTTTCCTAAGACCCTTATTCATGTGAGAGGTTTGTGGACGTGTGCAGTCGTGCACACAAACGGATAGGCAAGACTGCATATTTTTGGATTGCCAGAAAGCCTTTGACACAGTACCACACAAGAGGCTACTGCAAAAGCTGGAGATGCAGGCAGGAGTGAAAGGGAAGATAGCCCATTGGATAAGGGAGTACCTAAGCAACAGAAGACAGTCACTGTGAGGTCTCGGATCGGTGAGGCGTCACCAGTGGAGTCCCACAGGGTTCAGTCCTTGGACCTATTCTGTTTCTAATATATGTAAATGATCTCCTTGAGGGTATAGAATCATTCCTCTCATTGTTTGCTAATGATGCAAAAATTATGAGGAGGATTAAAACAGGAAGATAGTATGAGGCTACAAGAGGACCTAGACAAACTGAATCAATGGTCCAACAAATGGCTACTAAAGTTCAACCCGAGTAAATGTAAGGTAATGAAGCTAGGCGGTAGAAACAGGAAGCCAGACACAGGATACAGAATGGGAGATGAAGTATTTTATGAAACAGACAGAAAGATCTAGGAGTTGATATCACACCAAACCTGTCTTCTGAAGCCCACATAAAAAGAATAACATCTGCAGCATATGCGAGGCTGGCTAACATGAGAACTGCCTTCAAAAACCTGTGTAAGGAATCATTCAGAACCTTGTATACCACATATGTAAGACGAATTCTGGAGTATGCGGCCCCCCGTATGGAGACTGTACCTTGTCAAGCCCAAGACGAAGCTGGAAAAAGTTCAGGGGTATGCCACTAGGCTGGTCCCAGAACTAAGAGGCACAAGTTACGAGGAAAGGCTGTGAGAAATGCACCTCACGACTTTATAAGACAGAAGAGTAAGGAGAGACATGATCACTACCTACAAAATTCTCAGAGGAATAGACAAGGTAGATAAGGATAAACTATTTAACACAGATGGTATACAAACAAGGGGTACAGGTTGAAACTGAGTACCCAAATGAGCCACAGGGACATTAGAAAGAACTTTTTCAGTGTCAGTAGTTAACAGATGGAATGCATTAGACAGTGATGTGGTGGAGGCTGACTCCATACACAGTTTCAAGTGTAGATATGATAAAGCCCAGTAGGCTCAGGAATCTGCACACCAGTTGAGTGACAGTTGAGAGGCGGGACCAAAGAGCAGAGCTCAATCTCTGCAAGCACAACTAGGTGAATACACAGTGCTAGTCAACTCTATCATAGAGATACGTGACCCAGGGTTGAACCTCGCAACCTGGTAGAGCCTAGTTCAGCACCAAGTTCTTAGTCCCCCTCGGGACTATCTGGCCAAATGATGACGTAACAATGAACTGAAGTTGAAAAACATTGATTAAACTACTCGACTTTTTCCCCACTGGGAAATATTTTGTGCCAAATCTAATTCAGGTAATTTGGTAAACCATACATTTTCGTGTGTCTTGTGACATTCATTCCTACAGCTAAATAGGCTTCATGTACTGACCAGGTACTGTTGAGCAGCACATGCAAGTCTTGTAGCAGTGCAAAATGATACGATAATATTGTGGAATATATACATATATGTAGTGGAGAATAACTCGACTTGCATGAGGGCAGCGCATAATAAATCATTTTATATTCTGATTTAAAGCAATGTCATCTTTCATGATACTGACTGCAGTAACACACTTGTCAGGATACATTTTATCTTTCAAGCCCATATCAGTGGCTCATCAGCACAGATAACCTTTAACTAGGGAGATTCTCAACACAGACACCTTCTTAAGACACTGAGGCTGTTCACCTGTGGACTGCTTCCTGGGGAATATCCCAGAATTGGTATAAAACATTTCAACAACTAAGAAAGAAACACAACAAAATAAAAATGTTAAGCTCTTAAATAATTACTTTTACAAATAAGAATTTACTATTAAAAACTTATACTTCACACTTCATACCTATACAGTAATTTGTGACAAGATAACTTTTAAATTCAACAATGCATAATGCCAACTATTATCACATGATCATCTAATGTAGAAATATATACAACTTTTACACACAATACAGTATGAGCATTCATTGTATCACCTTCAAAGTAACGAGGGGTCAATCATCACACATTACCTTTAAGGTTAACTAGAAAGATTCATTCAATATATCACCTTCAAGGTAACCAGTACTCCCTCCTTACACGACTCATTAATGTGGTGCAGCTAATATAATACGAGGTACAGCTGCAAACTTTCCTCTCTCTTATACTCCAACAACAAGAAATTTTATATAAACATAAGTCTATGAAAGCACTCTTAAAGCAATAAAACTCAGCACTCTCACTTTTGATTGTGAAAGATTTACCTGAAGTGATAATGTTGAGCGATCACATTTTAGACAGAGCACCATTCATTCCAATGCCACATACACATACCTGGTGCCCTACTGCCCTGGCAGCTCCAACACACAGGTTAATTATTGCCAACCTGGCTCTGTAGTTCCCGAGCTGCTGTTGCACGTTTATGCCGAAGACTCTGTCTGGGTCGAAGAACTTTTTACTTCAGAATCATCATCACTTGGTGGAGAATCGGGAGGCCCTGGAAGCCGTAGTCTTGGTGGGACTAATGACTTTGACAGAGGCCTACAGGAACCACTTGAGCCATTGTTTTGACCTTCAGCACTTGGGCTGAAGTTGCACACAGACTTTACTCGTTCGCTGCTTTCATCCGCAGGCTCAGATACAGGTCGGCCGGGAGTGCTACTCATATTTATATTTTGTCTGGGGCCAGACCTAGATGGTGAAGACACGTATATGTTGTGTTGAGTGTTAGGTCGTACTGGAGTGGTGACATACACATTCTGATGAGTACTGACATACAAATTTTGATGAGATGTAGACACTGGAGATGTTACGTATATATTTTGGTGAGTGCCAGAGCCTGGGCCACTCACATATAAATTCTGGAAAGAAGTGGATCCAGATGGAGAGGTTACATACAGGTTTTGGTGAGAGTTGGGCTGAACTGGCATTATTACATGCACACTGTGGTGTGCAGCAGTCCCAATGGAGCTGCCAACATGAATATTTCTTTGGGTCTTATATTCGTGACTGGACACACACTGATTTTGCTGGCTTCCACCTTCACTGCTCTTCCCCGGTAATTCCTGCAATGAAACATCTGGAGAAGTGGACTTGTTATTTGCTTGTGTAACTCCAGGCGAGGCAGCAGCCTGACCAACCGTAAACATGACATGGGTTTCAATGCTAGCACAGGAGGTGGCCATGTCACTAAAGTTGTGGTGTGGGGCTGTCTGCTGATCAGTCTGGTGGGGAGAGGGAAGATTTGGCATTTGATACACCGACTGTTCTGGAGGACTGCCACACAGAGAGTATGAACCAGGCTCAAACACCGGTGGGTACTCCATGCCAGGGTAATGAGGAAGGATCTGAAAATAAAAACAACAAAATAAAGCATGCTTTTCTAGGCAGCCTCAGTAGTTCCTTGGTACATTAACTTTGGTATCACAGGCCTCTACACTTGCCAGGAACAGGAAGCCTAAACTTATGCTTATTCAGGTACTCCTAGGACAACTACTGACTTTCCCCAGGTTGCAACCTACAACATTTACCTAACTCCAGGGTACCTATTTTATTGCTGGGTAAATAGAAGTAATCATGTGAAAGGAAACGTTTCCAATCGTTTCTGTCTGGCCTGGGGAGTGAAACCGAGTCCATCGGTTGTTAACTGAGGACGTAAACCACTGTGCTACAGAGCCCCTAATATAGACATAAAATATAGTCAAAGATCAGGTCCAAAGATAGGGAAAGAAATGTAGAACAGACCAGTATGTGTTGGCACAATTGGAGAACACTGCATGAACATCGGAAGTCATGCCTGTTCAAGTATCTCGTGCCAAATATGAGAAATATAGCCGGAACAAAAGTGGATGCTTTCAAGAGACAAAAGGATAAAATCGAAGATCCTGAGTAACAAATTTACTTAGCTTTTATGATAGAGCCACAGAGATGGTCGAGTGGACCGTGTTTATCTGGACCTAAAAAGCTTTAGACAGTCTCACACAAGAGGCTGTTCTGGAAACTGGAACATGCTGGAGAGGTGATGGAGATTTCTGACATGGATGAGAATTTGTTTAACTAACAGACAGATGAAGGCAGTAATCAGAAACAATGTATCTGACTGGAGGAGTGTTACTAGCGGAGTACCACAGAATTCACCTCTTGCACCAGTAATGTTCATTGTCTACATAAACGTTGCGAGTGGCATGATCTTTCCGCTCTAAATCCATGTTGGCCTGGGTTGTGAAGGTCATTGGTTTCCATGAAACTGGTGACCCAACTCCTGATCACTCTCTTAAATACTTTTATTATGTGGGATGTTAGTGCAACCGTTCTATAATTCTTTGTTAATGCTTTACTCTCTTCCTTGTGTAGAGGAAGTCATAGATTCAAGCTAAGGAAACAAAGGTGCAAAAAATTAATGGAAAGTTTTCTTTTGCAAAAAGAGTGGCAGACGGTAGTAACAAGTTAAGTGAGGTGGTGGTGGAGACCAAAACTGTCAGTAGTTTCAAAGCATCATATGATGAAGAATACTGGGAAGACGGGACACCACGAGCGTAGCTCTCATCCTGTAACTACACTTAGGTACAGTAATTACCATTACACAGACAAATGCACAAACATATGTAAATCATCATTGGAGTTGTTTTAGATGTACACCCAAAATACCCAATTTACAATGCAACACCTACTTTTTGGTTGCGCAGCTTGGTGGGAGTTGAAGTCTTCCCCACCAAGCCATGTGGGAAATTTGCTATTGGGTAAGTAACTGTAGTTGATATGCTAGACACGCTGCTTGACCCGGGAGACAACACAGCAGCAGGTTGGTTCGTGGGCGTAGGCGACGAAGGAGGCGTTGAAAAAAATATGTCACGAGGAGACAAGACACTCGGTGTTCTTCTCTGTTTTCCAATCATGGACACTCCCATAGCAGGCTGCAAAGAAACAACACACGTAATGCCAGTAAAGCAACACTTTACAATAGGTTATGAAAGAATAATTCTTCTGAATACAATTTTGAATAGAGTATGGATTAGCATCATTGCATGGTGAATAACACTTCTAGCCTAAGCTGGGTGAATGGAATTCAAAATGAAAGGAAGTAATCAGTGAATCAGTTAGGTGTGTAAGATGTACTTAGAGTATAGTAGAACCTGAAATCCAAACCTCCCTATAACGGATCTCCCTAAACAATGAACCAAAATCAGCCATTTGACCTTCCTCTGAATTTCGAACGTCAGAAAAATGTGCAGATACTGGAGAGGGGCCCCTGTGAAATTTGCATTATTAGGTTAAGTAATCTCTTGCAGCTCATTTTTCAAAAAGTTATGAAATTGGTTATGAAACCATATCTCCCACAGATATAGGGAGGTAGGGTAGGCTCAGACCAAATTATTTATTGGAATGAGTTCCCAAGATATTTAGTAGAAAATCTTGAGTTAAAGCATTTGTGACATGAGAAAGTCGATGGGCCGGGTTCATTTACACTATTTATGTGGTCTTGGTCATATCTTGAAAGAGACTAAAGGGACTGGATCCTGAAAAGTACTGGCAATAAGTGAAATCATTTTATTCAAGTTCTTCTAGTAGTTGTCCATTATATGATAGGAATGGCAACAGGATTTGTGATTCATCAGTCAAATTGCATGAATATATACATGTATGTAAACATAAACATGGGCATTTTTAACACTAGGCCTTTTATATGATTTGGCCACAGTAATAACCTTACCTTCAAAGGTGTCCGAATAGTTTCCGACTCTTCAGCATGTGTCCTGATGGTTAAACTTGGAACAAGCTTTGTACTCGTGTTATGGGCTTGTGCCGGGGAGTTAGGCGATGTGTAAGGCAGAGAGGAGATGGACACACGTGACTGGGAAGAGGACGAGTACTGAGAGAGACTGGAGGTAGACCGGGTACAACAAGAGGAGGGAGATGAGGAACTTGCCACGAGTGTGGAACTGCTAGCAGAGGGAGAAGAGGTGGGAAGAGTACGTTCACTTGGCGACAGGAATTTTGTTCTTGGAGGCACTTCTGGTCGAGGTGTACCGAGCATCCCACTGTTACTTATTTGTTGTGGCTTTTTGGTGGGAGTTGCTGCTCCCTGCACCCACTGCTCCGTGAAGTAGCGTGAAGAGACCGACGATATCTCTGGACCTGCTGCTGCTGCTGGCTTGCTATCTTCTCTGCTGTTGTCTAGAATTACTTGTCCACTGCTGGGATCCAAAGCTAATTCAAATGCAGCTCTCATAGAATCATTTCTATTACGAAGCTGAGGAGGGTGATAGAGAGCAGCACGTTTCAAACGATCTGGTATGAGAACCTCTCCAGAACCAGTTCGTGATCTTCCATCCCTTTTCTCCGGAGACGAACGTAAATTTGCACGTGGTCTGGAATTATCGTTGCGAAGGGAGTTGATCCACAGCTTTTCTGGAGAACCCTCACGGTATTCCTCTGAAGCAAGCAAACTACTGGTTGAGCCATGTGAACTACGAGTTGGTGTGTGAAGAGGCGATATAGGAGGAGAAAGAGCTCTTGGATGCGACCAAGCCAAGCAGTCAAGCGAACCTCTTCTTGGCGATCTTGACCTCACTGGAGACTCTCCGCCAATACTCCCACGCCTCCCACTAACTTCAAATTTTGAAGGACTACAACGACCGCTGGGTGGGGGAGTACCATTCCACCTACCATTACCAACTTTACTTGGGCTACTTCGGGTGTCCAGGTCAACAGAAGAAGGTCTCACTGGAGAGTGTTGACTACTAGCACGGGTCGGAAGCATGTAATGTGGACGCTGGCGATTACCCACAGTAGAAGATTCCTGTAAACTACTACGCCCATCATCTGCAGAACGTTGCTCTAAGTTGGGTATGCAGTAATCAGTGCTCTCTGGAAGAGGCCCTGTGCTACCTTCCTGTGATACTTTCACATCTACTCTCTTCAGTTCAGCATCCTGCTGCAGTTCAAGTTGCTCTTCATGCTGCTGCTTCTTATATTGCTTTTGCTGATCCTGGCCATTTGGTGTGCCTCTGCTCGTTGCCTGTCGTCGCCGCTCCAAGGTGAAAGGAGCTGGCAGCTGCCGCAAGCGATCACGAAGGCTGTTCTTCCTCGTAACTCGTCGGCCAGAAGTGCCTTCAGTACTAGTTATATCTGCCTGGCCACCACTGTCTTCAGTTTTATTGACCCCTCGCAAATCACCCGTGGATGTGCTACGACTGCTGCTCTCACTCACACGCCTGAAAATGTATTAACTACAGTTTTAATAATAATAATAATAATAATAATAATAATTTTTATTTAGGTAAGGTACATACATAAAGAGATTTTACAAAGTTTGTTGGCTTTATAGATAGAGCTAGTACATACAATGCCTAAAGCCACTATTACGCAAAGCGTTTCGGGCAGGAACGCTTTCGGGCATTAATGAAGATTAATGTGTTACATAAGAAAAACTTGAAATTTCTTTGTCACCAACAGCAATAATAGTGATGAATTTGTTAAGTTTAAATTGCATTTGCAAGGTCATTCCACAATAAACATTAAATATATTGAAAATTAATAATATCTATATGAATAAAAGGCAGACAATGACAAATATAAACAAAATTCAAAGTATGAGGAATATTCCTACTATTAAAAATGACTAATTGTGCAGTTATCTGAATCAAAGCTACAGGAATCAACAGATTCTAAAGGCAATGTTAAATCTTTTGAGTTGGAGATCATCAAGAACCGAGGCAAAACAATCATAATGCAGATACCATAATAATTTGGTATCACCGAATACCAAAAGTGACATGTCTCTTACCTATAACTGCGGAAAGATGCTGTGGGTACAGGTTGGTTCATTGGATCCCTCGAAGGCTGCAGGAACCGTAGTCCTTGACTCTTACTAGAACCAAGGCCAGCCAAGGAGCTGAGGGACGTCCCACGACCCTGGCTGCCTCGGGATGGACTGGCCGAACCTCCTCGCCACACTCCCCCAGCGGCCTCCTTGCTTGGTGACGTCCTACAAAAAACCAGCGTTGAATGTAATGAAATGCCATTTTCTGGGTGAGACCCGGAGGCTTCCCGGAGCTATACCAGGCTGATATGCTAATGTCCGACTTTGGCATCAGTCATGTGTATGGAGTTCTTAGGGCCTACCGGGGACCACGGCCAGAACCTGGCCCCCTCAGAGAGGCAAGGGGAGCAATGGCCTATAGAAACCCCCGGGTGCTTGGAAGCATACTATGTCTGCCATCGACCGGGTCAAGCATCCAGAAAGGTAAGCATCCCAAAACAAACCCCTATTCTGGGGGGGGGGGAGCTGTGCAGACAGCGGCGCGGTGACATGTGACATTCTAATTTGCTTGTTTTCTGTTGGGGAGTTCTATCCACTAGTTCGGCTTTTGGTAGCAATTTTATCCAGAATAGGGGTTTGTTTTGGGATGCTTACCTTTCTGGATGCTTGACCCAGTCGATGGCAGACGTAGAATGCTTTCAACCACACGGGGGTTTCCATAGGTCATTGCTCCCCTTGCCTCTCTGAGGGTACCAGGTTCTGGCTATGGTCCTCAGTAGGCCCTAAGAACTCCATACACATGACTGATGCCAAAGTCTGACATTAGCATATCAGCCTGGTATAGCTCCGGGGAGCCGACGGGGCTCCCCCCAGAAATACACAATTTCAACCATAGAAACACAAGTACAGTACAATGGTGAAAATACAAACAATATATACCATATATAAATTACTGTACCATGATGCCCCTACCTGACTTGAGCTGTCTAAAATTCCCCCTTCTCCAACACGACTTTACCTGTCTACCTCCCCATTTGATCTACCTTACTTGACCTATCAGCCTTCCCCTAACTTACATCAGCTCACCTCAAATTGGTGCCTAAGGATGGGTGACTACTCACCAACAGAAACACTAGACACAACTGAAGTTAACGTAGGAGAGGTATAAAGATACCCGAGGAACTGGATGTACCACAAGCAGTAGGCCCAGACCAGATATCACCATGGAAACTGAAGGAAGCTGCTGGGAGCTTGTACTACCCATTCACTATAGTGTTCAACATTTCAATAGAGATGGGAGAGCTACTGGAAATCTGGAAAAAGCCAAATGGTTCATGGGGACAGACAAATACTGAACTATGGACTGGTGGCATTAGCATGCATTCCATGCAATATTCTAGAAAAAGTCATCAGAAAAAGGATTGTAGAACACATGGGGTGTAACTTTTATAACAAGGAAACAACACTTCTTCAGAGAAGGAAAATCATGCTTAACTGCCACACTGCGCAGAGCACCTGGAGGAAATCGATCGGGGGTGCGCAGAGCGCCTGGGGACGCTCGTATTTTTAGTGTAGGATTCAAAACTCCCGCGGCTACATTGGGTTCACATCATCTTCCTCAGGGCCCTAGTAAACGGATGCCATTAAAAAAAAAAATAAAAGTTACAAAATATGTATGTAACTGGTATTATTTAACGATGATAGTATTACAGAAAACCCGTGACTGTGATAAAAATGACCAGAATTCTGATAATAGCAGGATTGTGGTGTAAATTAGCGCTGTGGTAAGTATGGAATGCACTGTGGGAGGAGCAATCTTTGCAAGTAAGGGAAGGAGTGACAGCTAACTCTGTGTAGCGACCTCTGTTTAATCACTGTGATGTGCTGAGTTCATTGTAATTACCTAAGTGTAGTTACAGGATGAGAGCTACACTCGTGATGCTCCGTCTACCGAGCACTGTCATATAATGCTTTGAAACTACCGACGGTTTTAGCCTCCACCACCTTCTCACATAACTTCTTCCACTCTGTTTGCGAAAGTGAATTTTCTTATATTTCTTCGGCATCTTTGTTTAGTTAGTTTAAATCTATGACTTCTTGTTTTGAAGTTCCAGGTCTCGGGAAATCTTCCCTATCAATTTTGTCAATTCCTGTTACTATTTTATAAGTAGTGATCATATCACCTCTTTTCTTGTCTTCTAGTTTTGGCATATTTAATGCCTCTAACCTCTCCTCGTAGCTCTTGCCCTTCAGTTCTGGGAGCCACTTAGTAGCATGTCTTTGCACTTTTTCCAGTTTGTTGATGTGCTTCTTAAGATATGGGCATCACACAACCGCTGCATATTCTAGCTTTGGCCTAACAAAGGTTGTGAACAATTTCATTAGTATTTCCCCATCCATGTATTTAAAAGCAATTCTGAAGTTAGAAAGCGTGGCATAGGCTCCTCGCACAACGTTCTTTATGTGGTCCTCAGGTGATAGTTTTCTATCTAGAACCACCCCTAGATCTCTTTCTTTATCAGAATTCTTTAAAGATTTCTCACATAATATATAGGTTGCGTGGGGTCTATGTTCTCCTATTCCACATTCCATAACATGGCATTTATTCAAATTAAATTCCATTTGCCAAGTGGTGTTCATATACTTATTTTGTCCAGGTCTTCTTGAAGGGCATGACAATCATCTAAGTTTCTTATACTTCCTATTATCTTAGCATCATCAGCAAACATGTTCATATAATTCTGTATACCAACTGGTAGATCATTTATGTAGACAATAAACATCACTGGTGCAAGAACTGAACCTGTGGTACTCCACTTGTGACATTTCTCCAGTCCGATACATTGCCTCTGATTACTGCCCTCATTTTTCTATCAGTTATTAAATTTTTCGTTCATGTTAGAAGCTTACCTGTCACCCCTCCAATATTTTCCAGTTTCCAGAACAACCTCTTATGTGGAACTCTGTCAAAAGCCTTTTTTAGGTCCAGACAGATGCAGTCAACCCAACCATCTCTTTCCTGTAAAACCTCTGTGGCTCGATCATAGAAACCGAGTAAATTCGATACACAGGATCTTCCAGATCGAAAACCATACTGTCTGTCTGATATTATATCATTTCCCTCCAGGTGTTCTACCCATTTAGCTTTTATTATTTTTTCCCATATTTTGACTATTACACTTTTTACTATTACAATGATACAGGTCTATAATTGAGGGGATCTTCCCTGCTGCCACTTTTGTAAATTGGAAATATGTTAGCCTTTTTCCACACATCTGCTACAATTCCTGTAAACAGGGATGTCTGAAAAATCAGCTGAAGTGGAATGCTGAGCTCAGGTGCACATTCTCTCAGAACCCATGGTGAAACTATCTGGGGCCAACTGCTTTGTTCTTATTTAGCTCCTTGAGCATTTGTTTCACTTCGTCTCTAGACACCTATGTGCTCTATGCTGTTCTCTGGCATTCTTATTGTGTCTGGTTCTCTGAAGATCTCATTTTGTACAAACACACTTTGGAACTTTTTGTTTAATGTTTCACACATTTCCTTTTCATTTTCTGTGTATCTGTCCTCCATTTTCAACCTCTGAATATTATCCTTTACCTGTAGCTTGCTTTTAATGAATTTATAGAAAAGGCCTGGATCTGATTTACATTTGTCTGCTACAGTGTATACCGTTCTCAAAGTTCCTCTCTGCCTCTCTCCATTCTGATGTGAAATTGTTTCTTGAATCTTTGTATTGCTGGTATGTTTGGGGGTTTGGTCTCTTTTTTTTTTTTTTAATGATTCCATTTTTGTGTTTTGATCTCTGGCCCTCTCGCAATTTCTGTTGAACCATCCCTGTTTCCTAGGTCTGCATGTCTGTTTTGGTATGAATGTTTGTGTGCCTTCATCGTATATTTTGCAAAATTTGGCATACACCTCTGATACATTGCCTCTGAATACTGCCCTCATTTTTTTGAAAGCACAGGGTACGTAAGGAGTCAGTAACCCGTTGAGTTGCTTAGCCAGCCTGTATGTGGGGTGTGGGTATCTGGCTGATGATTGGCCGAAGTGGGTTTCCAGGCTTGTGGGTCTTGACATTTCCATAGGCATACCCAGGTTTATATTCCCCAACAACTTTTGGCAGGTGGAGTCCGGATTTCTTGGCGTTCACAGTTTCGATCAATCTGTTTACCTCCGTTTTCAATTCGGCTGTAGTGTCCTTCGTTACCCTTTGGAATTTAGTTTGGTCAGAGAGTATGAGGTCATCCCCTACAGATAAAAATCAGAAAATACAATTGATAATTTATTATTAAACCAAAAAAACGGCCAATCTACTCATGAAAAACTCACCAGACACCAAGCAGAACGCTCTGAAGGAGACCAACGTCTGCAGGCGATGAGTCACAATAACGTGGCTAAAGTATGTTGACCAGACCACACGCTAGAAGGTGAAGGGACGACGACGTTTCGGTCCATCCTGGACCATTCTCAAGTCGATTGTGAATGGTCCAGGACGGACCGAAACGTCGTCGTCCCTTCACCTTCAAGTGTGTGGTCTGGTCAACGAGACCGTCGTCGTCTATGCCTTTAAATGCCCACTTGGGGACTGTAAGCCCCAAAGAACTCAGTATATAGGCAAGACAACAACGTCTCTTTCTAGGCGACTAACAATGCATAAGCAACAGGGAGCCATCAAGGAACACAATCTCTTCTCACAACCAGACCATCACCAGAGAAATCTTAACAAACAACACAGAAATCATCGATAGGTACGGCGGTAGCAGGCGGCTTGACATAAGCGAGGCACTACACATCAAAAAGTCAACACCAGCAATCAACAGCCAATTAATGCATAACTATATTCTACCTACTTCAAGACCCCGAACCAATACGGAAGCAGCAAGAGGAAGTATGGGCCAATAGACCTTGTGCAGTTACTTCCATTCATATGTTCACTTATCCAATTTATACCCATTGTTTCGTGATATGTCTTGTGTTTCTCACCTCACCCAAAACTTTTGTACCATATCACCTCATCCAATGGAGTACAAGTACGAAGAATTTGTGTGTAAATTAAGTCTTTGAAAATGTAATACGAATTACGAAATGCGTTCAGGCGTCAGACAATTACAAAAATGAATTTCTGAGAATTGTTATTTTTATTACCACTGACAGTGAAGAAAACCTAAGAAATATTGAGAAGATTCATGTTAGAATTATTAATCTTACCTTTTCAGTCATATTCAACAACATATGTTTACAAGAAAGACTGCTACCAAAATATAATAGTACATGTGTACACACACATACACGTGAAAAGAAAATTACAAGCCGCCGACCAGTGGGCAGAGAGCACCATGCCGGCCAGGGGAAGAAGGCACAAAACTGCATTAAAAGGCCCACCTCAACAACAAAACCTCAAAGTCCCAGCACGACCACAACACGTGCCAAGACCCAAAAAGATCAGTCTGCAAGCCAGGAAGATCCCGGAACCCCCAGAAGGCAGAACCAGGTCACACACGAGGAAACAAAGCCCCCTGAACCCACAAAGGGGGACAAAGAGGAAGAAACCTCCAGAACGAAACCAAAGAACCCAAAGGAACCCAGAATCGAACCAGGGGAAGCCCAAACCACCACACTTGCCGGCGTAGATACACCACAAAGGCAAAGCACAGCCCCCAGACAGAACCCCCAGGGAAATGGTCTAAACAGATCGAAAACCCAGGGACAAGGTGTGGGAGCAAGCATAACAGATAGGGACACCCGAGCCGCCGAGGCAAGCGCATTAGATACAAGCCCGGAACCAAGCTCTTCCACATCCTCCTCGAGCCAGTCCGAGGACAACTTCAGCACCAGCAGGAAAAAGAAGCGCAAGACCAAAGCCAAATGCCCACAGGTGTGCAAATCCTCGGTCATCAGGGACGCCGAAAGGGAGGGAAACTGCAGCTGCACCTGCCCGATATCACGAGGAAGCATGAAGGCAAACAAGCACACATTGAGGTCCTCAAACTGGCCCCCCAGGTACACCTGAACGACTTGCCACTTGTGCAGAATACCCCTGTTGAAAAGCAGAGGTGCAACAGGTACTCTGAGAGTGAACTCTAACAACATCAGAGGCCCGAGACTGTTCAACACGCTTCCACTACACATAAGGGGCATAACTGGCCGACCCCTCACAGTGTTCAAGAGAGAACTGGATAAGCACCTCCAAAAGGATACCTGATCAACCGGGCTGTGATTCATACATCAGGCTGCGAGCAGCCGCATCCAACTGACTGGTTGATCAGTCCAGCAACCAGGAGGCCTGGTCGACGACCGGGCCACGGGGACGCTAAGCCCCGGAAGCACCTCAAGGTAACCTCAAGGTAACCTCAAGGTATCCCCCTCCCCCCAACGAAATGAAAGGGCAGTCTGCCAGCCAGGAAGACTCCGGCACCTCGTAATGCACCCAGTAAGGAAAAGAAAAGCCAAACTCAAAAGAACAAGAATCCATTATCAAGGTTTAATCCGGGTATCACGGTAAAATCTCTAGGAAGAGATTCGGCCTGCTCCATCACCTATTCTACCCGTTACCACTCTACATACACAAGTACTGCAGACAAAAGAACAACAACTACAACTACTACCAGACGTCTAGACAATACCACCAGTCTACCTACCCCACGGCCCATCACCCTCCTCGCACCTGGCGATGCCCCGGAAGCTCACGCCACCCGAAACAAGCAGTTTAATTAATTTTAATAAGAGCCGGTTAATAGTTAAAGAAGTCACCAGCGCCATCTGCCTGGCCGTCATTGTGTATATATAGGGCTGCCTAGCCCACTACGTTTCAGATTACTCCTGGGTGCTCAACTGAATAGACCCATTAACACATCTCAGTGTGGTAACGGATTTAGTCAGCCTAGCTCACAATATTCCTGCACCATATTTTATTTGCACATTAACGTAACGTAAATTTGATTACTCATCTTGTTTGTTTTGCACACTTTGTATTAGAGACAAGCCTGGATATTTTTTGTAATTTGTTTAATTTCATTTTTCTATCAAAGTAAAGTATTTTTAAATGTTTTTTCCCTCTACTTTATCCTACAGTTTACCTCACTGTGAAGACAACTTGCAGTTTACTTTTTTTTACTTTTTTTTTTTTTTACTATTTTATTTGCTTTATGTAACTGGCATTACAGAGACTGCACGACCACCCACTTGGCAAAGACAAGCAAAGACTGTCTTTGCACGACCACCCAGTTTGGCAAAGACATTCCTAGCATACAGAGCCCATTCAGAACCCAGTATTGCACCATGCTCCTACACCCAGGCTCACTTATACGAAGACCTTTCAAATACACAGACTAAAATTTTTGCCACAGCTGGAAAGTGTGCAATAGGCCAACGTGATTGCATAGTTTGTAAAACCACACAAGCGAGACCACAGGAACAAACAGGTGCAAACATGGTGTGAAGCGTGTGCCATCCTGTTGTGTGCTGTCAATTGCTTCAACGACTACCACTGTCTCCAGGACTTCTAAATGTGCAATGAAGGTGCAAAAACCTGTAAATATTGAGTATGTGTGTATATATATATATATATATATATATTGATTACAAATCTGAATACATATTTTATATGGTATAATAGAAAACATTTGTGCGCACATAATTGTGACACTAATTTGCAAGTGTAAATTGAATGTATGCAAGTTGTATTGTAATTCAACATCAAGTAACATTATATGGAACACAATTAGTGAAAAGAATTGTGGTAAAATGCGCCCACACTGTAAATAATGCCACGAAAATAAATTCATGGCAACTCTGGCTGCTTGAAGACTGCGCGCGACACCTCCGGGACGCACATTGCATGAGCATGCATGTTGGGTGTGACGTCATCGCTCAACTTGTTGGCTCATTTACGTCATTGGTAAGTACAATTAATTTTTTTTCTCATGGTCAAGGAACACAATTTAACAGAATTATGAGGTGGTTTTTTTTGTGCCTGTGGGTGTTGAAGGCCAAATAGCCCAGAGCAGCTTAGGGGTTAAGGGAGTGCACCACAATGGTTAACAAGCTTGATTGAATTCTATGATAGTCACCAAAATAAGACAAGAGAAGGAAGGATGGGTAGACCGCATCTTACTAGACTGCTGAAAAAATACTGATACAGTTCCTCACAAATGACTAACACACAAGATGGAGAGACTAGTAGGGATAAGAGTAAAGGCACTGGACTCGGCACCAGTGTGTTCGAGACACAGGAAACAAAGGTTCATATAGAAGATACGTTAGGCTGCAGAAGAGACGAAAGTGGTGTTCCACAGTGCTCTTTCCTAAGACAATTACTTTTTTAAATTATATAACTGACTTCAAAGAGGGCAGCCAATGGAAAGGCTACCAGAAGAGCAGCTTACAATATCAAGGTCACATCATCATCATCATCATCATGTCTGTCTATACCGTAACCAAAACACTTGTTACTATTCAGCGGGATGACAAGACTATATACATCCTCATCATCCCATGGACTAGTGAAAGTAATGGACCAACATGGTCATACCTGGACTGAGAAGACTGTGGCGACCGTCGTGAAGGAGATGATCGCTCCTCAAGTTCTTCGTCAGTTTCACTGTAGTAGACCTCTTCCCCTGCAATATAGTAAAGTACTGACTTGCGTGCTCCTTAGCATTACAGTAGTTATGGCAGGATCATATTTAGGATTTTGGGGCCCTCAATGCCTGGTAATAAAACAGCGTTGAATGTAATGAAACGCCATTTCCTGGGTGAGCCCCGAAGGCTTCGTGGAGCTATCGGACTGATATGTGAATATTAGTCTGGGGTACTAGTCAATGGAGTTCAGCCTACCGGGGATCACGAGCCAGAACCTGGCCCCCCCTCAGAGTGGCACAGGGAGCAATAACCTCTGGAAAATGCCTTAGTGGTTGGGGGATACTGTATTCCTAATCTGCCATCAACCAGGGATAGGCACCCAGAAAGTTAGGCATAATAAAACAAATCCACTTGGTAAGAAAGTTGCAACTGAAGACCAAACAGGGAGGCAGAACTCCCAGAACTCTCAAGGAAACAAGCAAACCTCCCCCCTGGGAGGGGGGAAGGGGGAGCCCCAGACCCCCATACTGGCTGCTCCAACCCCCAGTTCTGGCTTGTGGTCCCCGATAGGCCCACAGAACTCCATACACATGACAGATGTCAAAGCCTGACATTAGCATATCAGCCTAGTAAGCTACGGGGAGCCGAAGAGGCTCCCCTCAGAAAAAACTCCCACAAAACACAAGCACACACTCTCAGGCACATGTAAGCAAACAAACTGCATCTGCCCTGACGGCTAGGTGGGGAAGCAACCCGCAGAAAAGAAAATGACTACCAAAACAAAAGGAGAGACGGCTGACAACAGAGCCGAAATCATGCCAGCAAATGCGGGAAATTAGAAAAACACCCCCATTCAGAAGGCACCAAGACCAAGCAGGGGCAAACAGACCCAGAACTGCTAGTGGGCTCCCCCTACAGCTCCGAGGCAGAGCCGTCCTCCACGCCCTCCATCCCCTGAAGAAAAGGCAGAGTTTAGTGGAAAGACAGCAAAGAAGGGGGCTGCTGGTAGGGCCCAGAAGCCTCAGCAGGAGGAGCACGCTCGAATGCCTCTGTCCCCAACCCTAATGAAGCAGCTCCCAAAGCTGCCCGAGTCGCATCACCAGATAAACCCCACCCCGACCCCGAAACCCTCAAACGTTACGGAGCCAGGAACAGAGGAGGAGGGAGAAGAGCAAACGCTTAACCAAAATGGGGCAGCCTCGGGGTATCTGGGTGGACAACCAATGTAGAGCAACCTAACCTAGCATGCAACGCGGATAATGCCTGTACCCCGCATATCAATGCTATCAGAATGGATAACTGGACAACATGCAGAGATCACAACTCACATGACTCCAGGTCAAAGGTGATGGTGACCCAATAGGCAGCATGACGGAGGCAAAAACAGTGACTGTCACCTTAAGACAAGGGCACACAGCAACCTTCAAACTCGCACAAGGTGAGCTGAAACTCTGAAGACGCATCCACAGGTCCACACAGCCCCGACAGGGTTTTCTAGGGCTCGCAGGCTGACTGCTACGGGAAGCCCAGGCAAAGTGTTGCTAACCAGTTAAGACCCAAGCTAACCGGGGAGGGGGGGTTTGGAAGGAAGAAGAGGCTAAAACTCTGAAATCCCTTGCGACGTGTACAAACACGGGGACTTGGCAGAGGGCCACCACATATTATAAGTGGAACAATAAGCAGACCCCCACCAGGCAAGGAAAACAAAAAAGACAAATCCCACAAAAGTACAACATTCCCAGAGAAAACCTTGACACCCTGTCATGACCTCATGAACCCAGCATCGATGGCCAACCAAAGCCTGGCCAATTTCAATGAAGAATCTAGGGGAATTAATAAAAAAGGCTGGTTACAACAACGCCAGTTTACTGGGGCATATAATTAGGTCACCGTAAAACTAACACATGTACAGAACTGATGCACACTAAAGCTGATACATTCATCAGAAAGAAAAGAGTGTCAATACATAACTCAACTAGTAGTCACATACAACAGTGATCACTCAACTGTCAACTCAACTAGCAAATCAGCTATCCATTTAATGACAAACTCTGTCAACTATCAAATCAGTTAACCCACACATCAGTTAACAACTCAGTAAGAAATCAATAATTAATCGGCTATCATATCAGTAACGGCTAATACATAGGTATAGCTGACACCAGGCTCCAACCCGGTGCAGTGGTACACTATCCTACATAACAGTTGGGAAGGGTGACACGTGAAGGTGGGCAAAGGAATCGGTTACATTCTGTAACACACTAACAATACTCTATAATCCATAGTACCCACAATCACCTACCATCTGACCTACTAATAACTCAATTAGCCTGACAATATAGCATTACTCTTGGACACTTAACATTAAGAATTAAATACACAATAATATACAACCAGAGGACTAGACATGTGCATCTGCCTCTCTGGGAAAATCAGGGGAGAAGTGACCTGCCAGCGGCTTGGACAGCCGAGAACGACTCTGTTGCCAACATGGCAATAAGTTCATACAGATGTACATAATAAAATATAATCTATATACAGCGCTGTAAGGTATTTAATCATATACGTCGATGTGTGTGAAAACATAAGAAGTCAATTGGAACTCCTGCAGGAGATGTTTACCAAGAACATGGTAACTGAATGGGATGGGGGGGGGGTGAAGGAAGGGCTACGGAACCCCAGCTGGCCCCAAGGGCGGAGTAAGTGTCGAGCACCAAAACCCTAACACACAAGGGTGGTACTCACAAGGCGCTTAGGGGCATAGGGAAGGATGCCCCTAAGCGTACGTAGGCCCGGTACTCTTCAGGACACCTGGCCACCACACATAGGTGTCCTGAACCATGACACCACAGATGACACCATGAAGGTAAACTCTGCTTGGAAACCGAGGCCAGAGATGACGTCCACCCTGGATCACTTTAGCCAACTAACTGAAGTTGCGGGTTGGCTGGCACAGGAAGGGGGGGGAGCTGCACAGACGAGCGACGCAACAGCGTGGTGTAATGTTTGCTTGTTTCCTTTGAAATTGAGGGAGATCTACCTCTCTGTTCGGCTATTGTTTGCATTTTCTTACCTTGTGGGGTCTGTTTTGTTGTGCCTACCTTTCTGAGTGCCTAACCCCGGTCGATGGCAGATAAGATAAACCCCAACCACAGGGAAGTTTTCCAGGGCCATTGCTCCCTGCACCTCTCTGAAGGGGGCCAGATTCTGGCTCGTGGACCCGGGTAGGCAGAACTCCATTGACTAAAGCCCTGGTCTAATGTACTGTATATTAGCACTATAGCTCCAAGGACCCGATGGGGCTCCCCACAGAAAAGTCATCAACATACCAAAGCCAGAGAGAGGGACGAGTATCAATAGTGGGAAGAAGCACGTTTTCAAAGTACAGTATTCCATATAGAGAATGGCAAGAACAGGGAGAGAAGGGAACCCATTACGACACCGAAAGTTTGAGAGAAGTATTTTCCGTTTAAAGAGAAGGAGTTTGATCTAATACAGTCTGATCAGTTCGAAGAAAACGTCAGTGGGAAGTGGGAGATGAAGAAGGCACTCGATCGCCTTATGACTAAGGAAAGAAAGAATTTCATTAAGGGGAACATTAGTAAATAGAGTTGACATCAAGAATAAGGGCTGCAGGCGCAGTCTTCCTATGAAGTCCTGAGTGACGAAGGTGGGCAGGAGAAAAAGTGCCAAGGAGATAAGGACAAAGACTATAGAGCTGTCTTAGCTTGAGGTTGAAGGAAGTTTTAAGGCAATCCAAAGGGTTTGAAGTCAGAGGAGCATATGTGCGGGAGTCAGAGAGGAAGACATCAGCTTTCTGAAGGTAGTCCCAGAAGGAAGGATAAGAATAGCGTTGTTAGCTTTCAGGGAGGCAAGGACAAGCTGGGAGGAATGAGGAAGGTGGCAATTTTTAGAAAACTGTCAAGAACAGGGATAAGGATTTCTTCCCATCTCTCTCTCTAAGCACCATCAATGACTTCTTGGACCTGGACAGTTCTTGACAGTTTGTTTTCTAAAAATCACCCCTTCCTCGTCACTACATGAGAAGCATTGTATACTACCTTAGCAAATACCCAGGAGTACACTGCACAATGAAACCATGGTTTCTTAACATTAAAGCAGACCACTTAATTGAGCCTAATCTAGGAAACATTCAAGTGAGGTATCCAAAGTTCCTTAACCATTGTGGGAGCCGGTCAGCCGAGCGGACAGCACACTGGACTTGTGATTCTGTGGTCCTGGGCGACCACAATCCCAGGCGCCGGCGAGAAACAATGGGCAAAAGTTTCTTTCACCCTATGCCCCTGTTACCTAGCAGTAAATAGGTACCTGGGTGTTAGTCAGCTGTCACGGGCTGCTTCCTGGGGGTGGAGGGCTGGTCGAGGACCGGGCCGTGGGGACACTAAAGCCCCGAAAATATCTCAAGATAACCTCAAGATCTCAAGATAACCCCTTAAACTATTAAATCACTATTTACAATTTCCTCCTGTGCTTCAATCATATGTGATTTTCCCATTTAATTTACTTACAAGTACAGTACTATTTTTTGACACATTTAGGTTAATGTGTTCATGTACAGAACCACAAAAACAATAAGAGTGACTTACCTTGCTGTTGGTGTACGTGCTGGTGACGATTCTGGGATGCAAGGGAGGTAATAGCCGAAAGGCCCATCTGACTCATCCATCGGCTCCTCTCCTCACTCGTGTCACAAGCAAAGTAAAACGTGGCTCCGCCTGCAAAAGCCAGTTCAACACCTGTGTTACTGCTGTCCCGGGCCACAAACTTTAAACTGATGGTGGAAACTACTACAAATACAGATGCTCATTATAAAATGATTAATTCCCAGAGGCAAAATAAATATCAATACAACAAAACCCTTGTCCAGCTTGTGAATATTAAGATATGATCCTAGTATATATTTATCAGTCCATCCCCCCCCCCATCTGTCAATCTGTCCATCCCCCTGTCTGTTAATCAGTCCATCTGCCTGTCTGTCAATCAATCTATCCCTTAAACTTGTAAAATATGCTACACATCATACCTAGCACGAAAGACTTCTTGGGTCTCACAATCTCTAACAGATACGGCATCGAGCTGCTTGACTCTCTGGACTCGGTGAGTATTTACTTCAGTCATGAACACGGGGTAAAAGACCTCTGACACCATTAATTCAGAACACGCTTGCACATCCGTGGCACAAACTAGTAAACTGACTTTCACCATTAATGCATATTAGCAGGCAGAAGCAAGCAGAAGCAAGCAGAAGGTTGTCAATCTAACTCAATCTATTCATTTCCCTCTTGATTAACCTTGCCACCTATTTTTCTATCCCCCTATCCATTCCTCAATCTATCCACTTGTCTGTCAGTAATGTGTAGATCATCTTGTGAAATAGTCCTAAAACCCAGCATATTGAAATTATACTTCTACGGTATTTGGAGAGCTGCAATATGTGTAAAGAGTTTCTATGACACCGAAGCCCTCACCGACAAGGTAATAATGTAGCAAATATAAAACCGAGTTATCAATACTGATACAAGAACAAACATGAACTAGTGCCGCTGGTCAACCCAAATACACAAGACACTTTACCCTGGAACTGCAAACATTGTAATGTTCTTTTTCAAATGCAATTTAGTCAAGTATTATCCTAAGTTACCTGAATTTACCTGAGGGCCACTAATATTAGTGACCTCGATGAAGACAGGAAGCCGGTGGCTTGTCACAGGTCCCCCATTTGCCCTGATGATCTTTTCCAGATGTATTTTAAAACACAGCAGATATTTGGCATTTACGGCATCGGCGGGTAGGCGGTTCCACAGGTTTACAACCCATCGGCGTAGCAAATGGGTGAAAAAGCATCTCTTGTTTTCAGTCCTACACTATGGCTTGTTGAGCTTGAACCCGTTGCTCCTAGTTCGTGTTACCTCTTACGTTTTGAAATTGTCCAGATCAACATCTTCCAAATTGTTCAGCATTTTAAAGGTTTTGATGACATCCGCCCTGTCATGCCTGGTCTGCAGTGTTGTTAGCCCCGAGGCCCTCGACCATTCCTGATACCAGAGTTTCGACATCTCTCGTATGATTTGTGTTGCCCGGTGTTGCACCTTCTCCAGTGCAACTTTCTTTCTGAAGATGAGGCTCAATGCCTGGATGCAATAAACCAGGTGGGGACACAGCAGACTTATTCAATTGAATGATTACCTTGTTTTCCTTAAAGGTAAAGGTACACTCGATTATTCCCAGGGTTTGGCGAGCTTTTTTTTTTTACTGCCGCTCCCATTTGTTGTGCAACTTTTAGTGAATGATGGATTCTGACTCCAAGGTGCTTTTCTTCATCAATCTGTTGTAAGGTAGTGCTGTTAATTTAGTAGTAGTGATGTGGATTGTTATGCCCCACATGCAAGGTCTTGCATTTATTGATATAATAATGTTTTTATGTTCCTAGTTTCTGCTTATTGCTGAAACCCCTATAAACACTGCCATCCATATGGAGTTTTGGAACTGGGTTTTGATCAAACAATTTTAGAGTAATGAACTTCATTATGTATGTGTAGTAGGAGCCCACTACACTTTCCCTCCACTTAGAGGAGCTGGACATCACTTTTGGCCATCCAGGGCCTTAGAGCAGCCTGGGGGCAGCAATATACAGGAAACTGCAACAAAACATAGTAGACTTGAAGCAAAGTGAAATTCACACTAGTTACTCCATCAATTATCATTCTATTATGCAGGAAGAACTGCATATCTATGGATCATCCGATAAGGTTAGCAGACATCTAGACGTTACTACTGCTAGGCTTAGGCTCGGCTACAAGTACCTCTGGGAGTTTACACCACATGCTCATGTAGACTTGACTAAATGTAAATTCTGTCAGCAGAACTATTCACATACTTTGCATCACAATATATTCAAATCCCCCCCCCCACCCCTCAAAAAAATGCAAAATTCTGATATACCTATCAACGGCATTCGAGAAATATGTAATACTTCATAATGATGTACTGCCGGAAATCCTAGCCAAGTATTCAAAGATTGCTTACTGTAGGTAATGCATGCACATGACTGTGCGGCTGCCACCCAACTGGGTGGGTGCATGGAGTAGGATTAGTAACTAACTCGCCACAAACAAATTGCTTTGGATAGAGACAGTTGTGGGCCACCTCTTGAACCACTTGTAATATTGGTACAGTATATGTATGAAAACAGCTATGTTGTGTGTGTGTGTGTGTATATATTTACTTACACACACACACATCAAAAGCATATTATCAACAGCATATGCAAGGCTGGTTAACATCAGAACTGCCTTTAGAAATCTGCGCAAGGAACCATTCAGATCATTGAATACCACACATATAAGACCAATCCTGGAGTATGAAGCTCCAGCATGGAGTCCATATCTTATCAAGCATAAGATGAAGCTGGAAAAGGTTCAAAGGTAAGCCACCAGACTAATTCCAAAAGTAAGAGTTATGAGTTACGAGGAAAGGCTGCATGAATTGCATCTCATGTCGCTGGAAGACAGAAGAGTTCAGGGAGACATGATTACCACATACAATATTCTCAGGGGAAATTGACAGGGTAGATGAAGACATTATTTAACACGGGTAGTACTAGCACAGGGGGACACAGGTGGAAACCGAGTACCCAAATGAGCCACAGATACATTAGAAAAAACTTTTTCAGTGTCAGAGTAGTTAGTAAATGGGATGCATTAGGAAATGATAAGGTGGAAGCTGACTGCATTCACAGTTTCAAATGTAGATGATGATGATCGTCCTTCAGATGCGAAGTTAACCATGACTTCAATATATTGGGTCATAGATCGGTGGCTGTGTGCCAGATGATGGAGGATAAGACCAATCTGGATCAGGAAGGCTCGCCCACACACTGGACATTTGTGGGAGGGGTGCTGCTGCAGAGGTGGAGGGTGCTCTAGCTTTGCGTGCGGCACATTTCCTCTGGGTCTCTGCAGTCCATCTATTTTCTGCTGCACGGGCCCCTGTGGTAACTTTGCTTTTCCAAGTTGGACAGTCCTGAGCAAGCGACTCAAGTATTGGTGTTGATGTCCAGGTCTTTGAGGGTCACCTTCAAGCAGTCCTTGAATCATTTCTTCTGCCTCCCAACAGAATGAGTGCCCTGGCATAATTCACCATACAGCAGTTTAGGCAATTGGCTGTCAGGCATTCTGACAACGTGCCTTGCCCATCTGCACTGAGTTTTCTGTAGGAGGGTGTAGAAGCCGAGAATACCAGCCCATTCCAGGATCTCTGTGTCCAGGATTTTGTCCTGCCACGTGATGTGGAGGAGTCTGAGGAAACAGCACAAGTGAAAGTGTTTGGCATGTCTGCTGTAGACAGTCTAGGTCTCACCGGCATAGAGAAGGGTGGCGAGTACAACTGCACGGTAGACCCTTCAGTTTGGTGGTAAGGCTGAGGGCTCTCCACTCCCAAACATTCTGACAATGTTCCGAAGGCAGTCCTGGCCTTGGCGATTCTGCTGTTGACTTCTGCATGAAGTCCACCGCTCTTATGAGTATGGTGCCAAGATGATGCCTTTGCCTGTAGGTTCTGCCCCATGACAGTGATGTAGGGTATTTCGGTCACGGGTTGGTACATGATTTCAGTCTTTCTGGTGCTGATGATGAGACCGAAGTTGTCTCAGGCTTGTGAGAAGCAGTCCATTTTGTGCTTCATCATTTACTCTGTGTTGGCATTGAGGGTGCAGTCATCAGCAAACAGGAAGTCTCATATGACTTGGGTGAAATTGGATATAAGAAAGTGAGCTTCAAGGTAATGTACTCAAACATTGATGGGATTACCAATAAAGCAAGTGAACTGGCAGAAAGGGTGCAAGAAGAAAACCCTGATGTAATAGGACTAACAGAAACAAAATTGTCAGGAGTCATAACAGATGCTGTGTTTCCAAAGGACTACTATATAGTAAGGAAAGAGAGGGAAGGGAGAGGAGGTGGAGGAGTGGCCCTGCTGATAAGGAAGGACTGGAGTTTTGATGAGATGGAAATTCCGGGCTGTGACGGATTCAGAGATTACATAACAGGAACTATAACAATGGGTGGACCTAAGATAATAGTGACAGTCATTTACAACCCTCCCCTAAATGACAGAAGACCTAGACAGGAGTTTGATAGGAACAACATGGCAACTATTAATATAATAGAGAGAGCAGCTTCAGTTGCCTGCAGGAATGGCTCAAGACTCTTAATCATGGGTGATTTCAACCATGGAAAGATAGACTGGGAGAATGGGGACCCACATGGTGGTGCAGATACGTGGCGAGCTAAACTCTTGGAAGTGGCAACAAGGAATTTTCTGAGCCAGCATGTCAAGGAACCCACAAGAATGAGAGGCAATGATGAACCAGCTAGACTCGACTTAATATTCACCCTAAATGAGTCAGAAATAAGGGAAGTCAAAGTTGAAGCCCCCATAGGAATGAGTGACCACAGTGTACTGACCTTTGAGTACTTGGTGGAGGTAGGGATAACCTATCTAAGGATGGGAGTGGAGGGGAAAAGACTGAATTACCGAAGAGGAAAATATGACGAGATGAGGAACTTCCTAATGGGAATACCATGGGAAACAGAACTTAGAGACAAGAATGTGCAGGTCATGATGGATATTGTCACCCAAAAGTGCCAGGAAGCTGCAGACAGGTTTATCCCCGTCCAAAAGGAGAAAAACGAAAAACAGAAAAACCCATGGTTCAACCAGGAATGTAAGGTAGCGAAACAACTGAGTAAAAGAACATGGAGAAACTACAGAAATAACAGAACACCAGAGAGCAGGGAGAGGTACCAGAGGGCCAGAAATGAGTACATCAGAGTGAGGAGGGAAGCAGAGAGACAGTTTGAAAATGACATCGCGAGTAAAGCCAAGACCCAACCAAAGCTGCTCCACAGCCATATCAGGAGGAAAACAGCAGTGAAGGAACAAGTGATGAAGCTGCGGAAAGGGGAGAACAGATACACAGAGAATGACAAGGAGGTGTGTGAAGAACTCAACAAGAGATTCCAGGAGGTCTTCACAATAGAACAAGGAGAAGCCCCTGCACTAAATGAGGAGGCGGCAACCTTGGAAACCTTGGAGGAATTTGACCTCACCAGTGATGAGGTCAAAAGGTGTCTGCTGGAGCTAGATGTGACAAAGGCTGTTGGGCCTGATAGAATCTCACCATGGATACTAAAGGAAGGTGCAGAAGCACTAAGTGTGCCACTCTCTATGGTGTATAACAGGTCACTGGAAACAGGAGACTTACCAGAAAGTTGGAAGACAGCTAACGTGGTCCCAATATACAAAAAGGGTGACAGGCAAGAGGCACTGAATTACAGGCCAGTTTCCTTAACTTGTATACCATGCAAGGTGCTGGAGAAGATCGTGAGGAAAAGGCTCGTAGAGCATCTGGAGGGAAATAACTTTGTAACGCACCACCAACATGGGTTCAGAGATGGTAAATCGTGCCTCACAGGGTTAATAGAATTTTATGACCAGGCAACGAAAATTAGGCAGGAAAGAGAAGGGTGGGCCGACTGCATTTTCCTGGATTGCCAAAAAGCCTTCGACACAGTACCCCATAAAAGGCTGTTAAAAAAGTTGGAGCAACAGGCAGGAGTAAAAGGGAAGGTGCTCCAGTGGATAAGGGAGTACTTAAGCAACAGGAAACAGCGAGTAACGGTGAGGGGGAAGACATCAGAGTGGCGAGATGTCACCAGCGGAGTCCCACAGGGCTCAGTACTTGGACCCATCCTGTTTCTAATATATGTGAACGATCTTCCAGAGGGTATAGACTCATTCCTCTCGATGTTTGCTGATGATGCAAAAATTATGAGAAGAATCAAGACGGATGAAGATAGACAGAGACTACAGGATGACCTGGATAAACTGGAGGAATGGTCTAGAAAATGGCTGCTGAAGTTCAACTCTGGAAAGTGTAAGGTGATGAAATTAGGCGAAGGGAGCAGGAGGCTGAACACAAGGTATCATCTGGGAGGGGAAATCCTGCAAGAATCAAATAGAGAGAAGGATCTGGGGGTTGATATCACACCGAACCTGTCCCCAGAGGCCCACATCAAAAGAATATCATCAGCGGCATATGCTAGACTGGCCAACATAAGAACTGCCTTCAGAAACTTGTGTAAGGAATCTTTCAGAACCCTGTATACCACTTATGTAAGACCAATCCTGGAGTATGCAGCTCCAGCCTGGAGTCCATACCTAGTTAAACACAAGACAAAGTTAGAGAAGATTCAGCGGTATGCCACCAGGCTCGTCCCGGAACTGAGAGGATTGAGCTACGAGGAAAGGCTAAAGGAGCTGAACCTCACATCCCTGGAAAACAGAAGAGTAAGGGGAGACATGATAACCACCTACAAAATTCTCAGGGGAATTGACAGGGTGGACAAAGACAAACTCTTCAGCACGGGTGGGACACGAACAAGGGGACACAGGTGGAAACTTAGTACCCAGATGAGCCACAGAGACGTTAGAAAGAATTTTTTCAGTGTCAGAGTAGTTAATAAATGGAATGCACTAGGAAGTGATGTGGTGGAGGCTGACTCCATACACAGTTTCAAATGTAGGTATGATAGAGCCCAGTAGGCTCAGGAATCTGTACACCAGTTGATTGACAGTTGAGAGGCGGGACCAAAGAGCCAAAGCTCAACCCCCGCAAGCACAATTAGGTGAGTACAATTAGGTGAGTATATGACAGTTTTCTTCACCTTTGTAACAGCCTGTAGGTGCCCAAGATTGAACAGCCCATCGTCAGTCCTGTATCTGATGGGTATTCCATCTGGCAATCACAGAAGGCATCAATGAGCATGGCTGAGAATACCATGCTGAAGAGTGTTGGGGGCAAGAACGCAGCCCCACTTCATGCTGTTCGTCACTGGGATGGCTTTTGACTGTCCAGTACTTTTGCCATTATGGCATCGTGGAACTGCCAGACAATCACAGTAAATTTACTGGGACAGCCAAACTTCTCCATTTTTTCCATAAGCCATCTCTGCTGACCGTATTGAAGGCCTTGGCCAGGTCGATGAAGGTCACAAAGAGGTTATGTTGCTCTTAGCATTTTTCTGTGAACTGGTGTACAACAAATATCGACAGTTCCTCGTTCTGCGTGGGTCACATTGGCTTTCTGGGAGGAGACCCTGCTCAAGGTGTTTAAGGAGGCGGTTGAGCAGGATACGAGCCAGGATCTTCCCAGTGATGGACAGGAATGAAATACTCCAGTGATTATCACAAAACTCCCAGTTGCCTTTCCTCTTGTAGATGTGAAATATGCTGGCATCTTTTAACTGTGTTGGACCTCCCCTTCATGCCACACAGACTGGAAAAGCTTTGTCAGTTTCTGCATCATGGCTGGGGGCCCCTGTTTTGTATAATTCTTCAGGGATTGCATCTGATCTTAGCGCTTTACCTCAGAAAATCTGCTTGATGACCTTCCTGACTTCTTCTGTGGTAGGTTTATAAAGATCCTGGTTTATCTCCACTTGAGGTAGGCGAGCAATGGCCTTGTCGTTGGCTGAGGCAGGGCGGTTGAAGACCCGATCAAAGTGTTCCACCTATCAGCCCAAGATCTGCTTCTTTGTCAGCAGTCGAGTCCCATCTGCACTGAGGACGGAAGCAGAGCCAGAAGGCGGTGGTCCATGTATAGCCTTCAGAGCATCATAGAAACGCTTGTTGTTGTGACTCTGAATAACCTTGGATTTCATTGGCCTTCTTGCTAAATCATACATCCTGTATTTCACAGTTTCCTTTGCACCATTCTTTGGGCACTGGCAAAAGCATCTTTATTCCCATGTGATGTAGGATCATTCTAGTGTCCACAGAATAGGTGATTGTTTTTGTTTACAACAATATCTGTATCTCATCATTTTCATCAAACCAGTCCTGGTTTTTGCAGGCTGCTGGTCCAAGGTGCTCAAGGGTAGTAGAGTAGACTGCATCTCTAAAGGCTGCCTACCTCACCTCGATGCTGTCCTGGCCAATCTGGGGGTGTGTCTAGCCTCCTGCCTTCTAGGTTGTTAAAGAATCATTCAGCAACTTTGCTGTTCTTTAGCTTAGAGACACCGAGTCTCATTACAGTCTTCTGACCTTGGGGTCTTCTCGCGGTCAGGATACAAAGTTTGCATTTGGACACTGAGGCGATGGTCAGTCCAGCAGTCGGCACCACACATGGCCTTAGTTATTCTCACATCCTGCCAGTCTTTTTTCCTGGTGATGACATAATCTATCGGATACCAATGCCTAAAGCGTGGGTGCATCCATAATGTCTTGTTGCAGGAGGGAAGGCGAAACAGTGTGTTGGTGATGATGAGGTCACGCATAGCACACAACGTGAGGAGCAAAAGACCATTGCTGTTGCACTTGCCAGTGCCATGTCTTCAATGATCCATTACCAGGTCTGGTAGTCTGTCCCTACTCTGGCATTGAAGTCCCAGAGGATAATTAGCTTCTCTGAATTTGGGACTGCTGCAATGAGGTTGTCGAGTTCCTCAGAATTTTTTCTTTGAGTCATCTGGGTTGGTCATGGTAGGGGCATACTCACTGATCAGCGTTGCATTTCTCTCGCTTCCAAGCGGAAGCTGGAGCATCATAAGCGGTCGTTGGTGCCCTCTGGAAGGTTGGAAGTTTTTGGGAGAGGCGGCATCTGATGGCAAATCTAACACCAACTTCTTGTTGTTCGGTGCTACTGCGACCACTCCAGAAAGAAATGTACCCACCACCACGTTCTGTAAGCTGAATTTTGTCAGCCAAGTGAGTTTTGCCAAGTGCTGTTATGTCCACATTGTAGTGTGCTAGTTTCCCTGCAACTAGGGCAGTTTGCCTTTCAAGTCTGTCTGCCTTGCTGTTATCCAGCAGAGTTTGAACGTTCCGAGTACTGAGATTGAGCACCCTCCCTATTTTCTTTGTATTTTTTTGACCGCTGTAGGGAATCCCTGTCACCCACGGCTTGCTAGCCAGGGTGAATTGAATCGGGCTTTGTTTATGGTACCTTTTCTAGCCCCTTCCTCCATGGAGGTGAGTAGTGCCCTGAAGAGGGCTGCTCAGACACCCAGGGGGGGCTGCTGAACTCTGCTGCTCTTGTAGATATGATAGAGGTCAATATACTCAGGAACCTGTACAACAGCATATAGACAGTCAAGAGATGGAGAGAGGGACTAAAGAGCCGAAGCTCAGCTCCTGCAAGCACAACTAGGGGAGTACAACTAGGCGAGTACATCCAAATGGCTCCCGGAACCGAGAAAGAGAGAACTAGAGAGAGAGATTACAGGAGTTAAATACTGTATACCAAAGTTATAAGATAGAAGAAAACAAATAGGTGACATAAACACTGTGCACAAAATAATAACAGGTATCAACAAAACTGACAAAGAACATTTGAAAACTGCAACTTCAAGAACCAGAAACACAAGTTCAAACTAAGGAAACAAAGCTGCCAAAAAACATTAGACAGTTCACTTTTGCAAACAGAATGGTAGACAGTTTGAACTAGTTAAGTGGAGATGGTGGAGGCCAAAACCATCAGTAGTTTCTAGTGGGGATAAGTGGTGCTTTAGTAATAATCTGTTCCAGCCACAGTAATGAGATCTCTCTAGTTGTCATTCTATAAGGAAAGAATATCATAGATTGCATTATATAATAACTTACTTGAATGATATATTTTGAAAGCAAATTTCTTGGCCTTGACATCGGTGGCGGGACACACATGGAAGCCCGGAAGGTATATGAGGGAGTCGGCCCGCACAGCCTCACGGTCACGATAACCATACAGGTAGTTCTTCTGCAGATGTTAATCAATCCATTAAGCCTATCTGGATGGCATGTCTGAAAACTGGCTATTCACCTAAGACTGAAATTTGTAATTGTATGAAAATAATATACATATATGATAGAAAAATTGGAAATGAGAGTGGAATAAAGTACAGTCTCCGTGGTGTAGTGGTAAGACACTCGCCTGGCGTTCCGCGAGCGCTATGTCATGGGTTCGTATCCTGGCCGGGGAGGATTTACTGGGCGCAATTCCTTAACTGTAGCCTCTGTTTAACGCAACAGTAAAATGTGTACTTGGATGAAAAAACGATTCTTCGCGGCAGGGGATCGTATTCCAGGGACCATAGGATTAAGGACTTGCCCGAAACGCTACGCGTACTAGTGGCTGTACAAGAATGTAACAACTCCTGTATATATCTAAAAAAAAAAAAAAAAAAAAAAAAAAAATGTTGTAAGAACAGGAATGAAAGTGAAAGGAAGGAAGGAAGGAGTATATTTAAATTAATGAATGAATGAAGAGTAGTATGATACAATGAGTAATGTCTTGTATTGCAGTTATCTGTACAGTATTTAAGTAATAAATTCAAGTTTAAAAGAGTAAAGGAGGGAATTGTTAGTGCATATGCACTGTATTCACCTAGTTGTGCTTGTGGGGGTTGAGCTCTGCTCTTTCAGCCTGCCTCTCAACCAATTAACAGTATCCACTCGATTTAACGGCCTATATGGAGCTGTACCCTGGTCGTTATTTCCGGAGCTCCGGTATTTCCGAAGTAAAGTGTCGGTAATTTTTCAAGTAACATTCAGGTAAGATATATTTTATACAGACAGCCACTTGGTCCACCACTCTAGTGCCTTTTACCCTGTGACATCACAGATTCACGGCACATTGTTTTGTCACGAGGCTGGAGTGTTCATTCCGTGACTTTGTTGGACATATCTGCACAATCAAGGAACATCCGTGCACCATGTCGGCTCCAAATGCACTCGTTGTGTCAGTGATGGCTGACTGGTGGGTGGATGGGCAGGCAGGCAGGGATGGAGAGGCTGAAATGTTGGCAGGCAGGCAGGGAGAGGCTGGGAAGTAGGCAGGCAGGGAGAGGTAAGGAGGAAGGCAGAGCTTGGGAGGCAGGCAGGCAGGGAGAGGCTGGGAGGTAGGCAGGGAGGGAGAGGCAAGGAGGAAGGGAGGCAGAGCTTGGGAGGCAGGCAGGCAGGGAGAGGCTGGGAGGTAGGCAGGGAGGGAGAGGTAAGGAGGAAGGGAGGCAGGCAGGCAGGGAGAGGCTGGGAGGTAGGCAGGGAGGGTGAGGATGGAGATGGATGGTAGGATGGAGATGGATGGAGGGATGGATTGATGGAGGGAGAGAGAGAGGGATGGAGCTATGGTTGTTGGGGTGAAGCAGATAGCGTGTGTATGGGAAGTATGGAGGGGAGGGGTGTCGGTGGTGGGGAAGGGACTGGCTCACTGATGAGCCTAACACACTTGACCCCAGTTAACCAGATGTTTTTTAATTAAATTCTGGCTGTACATATATATTTTTGCTTACAGATTTTGTTTAGTAATATTATTAGGATAATAAAAAGTTATAAAATACTTGTTTCATGAATGCTTTATTGTATTAGATGGAGATTTTCCAGGCTGTCTTTGGCTGGCTGGCAGTCTACTGAGCCATTTCCCAGAAGGGTCTTTGGGGGGGGGGAGAGGGGGAGGCAGAAAGTGAGGGTGTGGGGGGAAGAGGTTCAGTGAGGGTGAGGGAGGGGATGAAAGGGGTAGGGGGCCTGCTTGCCATGTGAGGACCCTCTGATGCCAAGACAAACCCAATACCGACCTTCGGTAATATCGACCCTCAGACCGTTATATGAGGCTCTAAATACCGGTCTCCCAAATCGGTCGTTATTACCGGCGGATCGGTATAAAAGAGGCCGTTAAATTGAGTGGATACTTACTAAATACTAATTTCCCCCCCCCCCTAGATATTGAACTGAGTAAATGATGTAGGTGCACAAATATCTAATTGACTGTTTAGAGAAGTGTGCATACATGTGTGTGTGCGCAGCGAGAGGAATTTCCAAAGGTCTGTCTGATCACGTATGTACTATGCAAGATTAAGGGTCAAAGGGTGATCGTACCTCACAGAGGAATAAAGAATAAAAGTTGACAAGACGAGCGAGAGAGAATTGGTAAACGAATACAAAACGGAGTCAATAGTGATCTCTGAGAAAGATTATACACACATGACCCTTAGGTGCCATGAATACAATGTTTGGTTGAGCATACCAGGGACATGTGTGAAGCTGCAAAATAATGACAAGAATTGCTTGCTGGAATAAGGCAGTGGCAGCAGCAGCTGATGGTAAGAAAAAGTAGATTTTATGGGCAAATTACAAAGTCAATCATGGAGGAGACAAAAAAAATTACTATGTAAGATGAGAGTAAATGATAAATGAAAAGTTTAAATAACAAAAACACGGTGAATGGCAAGATAGGGAGAAAATATAGGAAACATCAGATGTGGACGACCCATCAGATGTGGGCAACCCATCAGATGTGGTATGCAACATGGCTGATTTGAATCTGTTTGTAAAAGCAGAGAGTGAAAGTGCTGTTTCTGCATACAATGAGCATGATAATAAACAAAGAGCATTTGTCCACCTGGTCTTTGGGTGTTGTCATGGAAGACTGCTGGAGTATTGTAGTGTGTGTTTATCCTCAATGCTGTACAGTGTGATATAATGAATGGACAAGTGATACTTTTAAAGTTTCCATTATTTAAAAGCTATAACTTTTTCTTTTTAACTATAACTTGCCTTTCTTTCCTCTGGATGCATGTTTCCTCACTCCAAGAGGGGGGGGGGGGGAATGAGGCAATGATATTGTGTATCATTTACTGACAACCTACGCAACTGGTATAATTAAATTTCACATTTTTTATATACAGCACTGCAGCGAGTGTTTTTAAACGTAGTAATGATAAAAGATATGTTTTTGACGTTTGCGTACAATATCTGTATGATCAAACCTGAATTCAAACCGAGACGTAGTATGGAAACTGCTGGCAAAGGTTCAACTAGAAAATCTTTTGCACCAAATCAAATAATGGTTGCACAAGAAACCTAAGTTTCATTATCGCGACAAGTGTAAAATAAGATGAAGTGTGATTTTAAAGTACTGTATCTTTAACCGTCTTTCACAATACCGCTCCTGCATCTACGCCATCTCCAGCCTCCCCGCCCTCTCAATGTGAGGAAATAGTATAATGATCATCATCATGACAACACCAAATAAAGTGCTAAAAACACACAAAAACAAGTGGGTGAGAGTGTCATGCAGCACCATTTACCAAGAACTTTGACACACACCTTCAAGATGAACCAACGACGTTCCCAGCGATGTGGAAGGAGAAATCCTTTGTTATCACGTCGACGGTGCAGCCACCCTTGATGGTCTCCTTGGCCAAGTTCACGGCAAGAAATTCTCCTACTTCCTGAAAAAATTGACATTTATCACAATTCTTGAATGCATGAACATATCCAGGTCAATACACCCTATGTATACATACATGCACGCAAACAGTTAAACACACACCCCTAGTGTCAACACCTGCATCAGTGGAGCTCCAGGATATTTCAAAATTCCTAAGTATTGTAGAACAGGTTGATGATAGTGAGTGGTGTCCCAAGGAACATAAAGGTATAGTGCTTTTGAAAAATAGGTGAGATAACATGAATGTGCCAGAGAAAGTAAACAAATTGGGTGAGAAAAAGTTGCCTTAGTGTTAACAGTGCAGACGACAAAATTCAAGATGGCTGCCAGCAAGAAGTAAAACAAAACAGAGCTAGAGTTTGGTGATTTCAACGAAGAAAGCTTTGATATAAGCAGTCTACACAACAAGTTGGCAAAATTAGATATTATAGTGAACTCTCATGTAGACATAATCAGCAAATTGAGAGAGAGTAATGACTACTTGAGTAGCAAAGTGTCAGGTCTTGAGGGGTTAGTGAAAGACTTATGCAATGACAAGAATCACTATGAAACAAACTGCAAAGCCATGGAAGAGGAAAATAAACTCAAAATAAATTTGGAAGAAGTTAAAGCAAATTAAAACATAAATGACTACAAAAGGTTAGGTAAGGAAATTCAACAAGAGAAACAGCTTTTGTCAGTACAGATGGAGTACAGTACAAAGGTAACACAGGGAATAGAACAGTGCAAGAAGGATATGCAACTCAACTATGCACAAGTGGCAGAGAAGAAGGAAAGAATAGAAGCAGTAGACAAGGAAGCCAAACACTGCAGCAATCAGGATAAAACAAAAATTAGGCTGGAAGTCAGACAGGAACTGGCATCAAACTCGAAATTGGTGCAAAACACAGTCTATCGAAGTCCCTTATACGTTTTGGTTGCAGAGAAAAGGAGACAACATCTAGGTCAGACAGAGATGTAAAAGCAGCTAAAGTACTAGATAAAATTGTTGGCCTCGTGGAAGGTCTGACAACCATAGAAAATGTCTGCGACTACAGGAGAATTGGCAGGTACATAAAAGGGAAAAATCGACCTTCGAGGATCACCCCTAAACGGTGCCAAACAGATGGAAGAAGTACAAAGGAATGCTAGAAAATTACAAAGTGATGAGGATGGGAAAGTGTGGTCGTCAAGACGAGATCTTTCAAAAGAAGACAGAGAACCTGAAACTGAACCTTGTAGATGTAAAATGTCTAAATGAGAGCAGGAATAAAGAAGAAATCAATTCTTTTTTCTACAAAGTGATATGGGTAGGCAGACCAGTAAAATGGTACAAAAAGCCAATCCAACAAAATTGCTAGAGAAAGGGGTAGTGAAGAATAAGGAGAGAGGGAACATGTTCCTGAAAATTGTATACACCAACATAGATGGAGTGACATGAAAGATACTGAAGTTGATTGATGTAATACCGCTGCAGACGCCAGACACTGTTGCACTCATGGAGGTCAAACTTGAAGATGATATTTTAAATGAGGTCATATTCCCAAGGGGCAACTCAGTTTGGAGACGGGACACAAACATTATGAAAGGTGGTGGCGTTGCTGTGCTGGTGAAAGAACACCTAAAGGTAAACAAAGTAATGATTGCCAATCCACGAGAGGTTGACGTAAAAGCACTGGAGATCTGCAAGCAGGATGATCAGGATGATAAACTAATGATCATAAATGCATATAGTCCACTGCCATGCAACACATGGACAAAGGAAGAGCTTGACATTGCAGACGAAGCTGCAAAACTTGGAACTAGGAGAAGAAATGTGGACATTTACATACTACAGAGTATCACAAATTAAGAAAGTAATTAGAAACGGAGCAATGCAAAAGATGTACAGTAACCACAACACAGCAGTTGCAACATTAGGATCTGCAGGTTGGTAAAAGAATTCAACCAACTATGAACCACTTAGTTTGATGAAAGGGAGCAGTAGAACAACAGAAGTACACTTACATCACATCAGGGGTGGATACCCATATGCATGGTAAATAGGCTTACAGGTTCCGGAAGATGAGAGGAAATGTCAGCACTGTGGAGAAATACCCGACAGACCACTGGAACATTATCTAACACAGTGAACCAGCGCACACGACCTCTGCCTCTAGCATCAGCCTTAGAACTGAAGGGTGGATAGCCGGCACGAGGGCTCTGGGGCTCCCCCTTCCCCCATTCCCAGGAAGAGGGGGAGCTGTGCAGACAGCGGCGCGGCGACACGTGACGTCATGCTCATTTGCTTGTTTCTTTTTGGGGAGTTCTATCCACTTGTTCGGCTTTTGGTAGCAATTTTCACCAGAATAGGGGGTTTGTTTTGGGACGCCTACCTTTCTGGGTGCCTAACTCAGTCGATGGCAAACATAGAATGCTTCCAATCACACGGGGGTTTCTATAGGCCATTGCTCCCCTTGCCTCTCTGAGGGGGCCAGGTTCTGGCTCGTGGTCCCTGGTAGGCCCACAGAACTAAATACACATGACTGATGCCAAAGTCTGAAATTAGCTTATCAGCCTGGATAAGCTTCAGGAGACGACGGGGTTCCCTCTAGAAAAAAAAGTTTTAATCCTGTAAACTGCCCTTGGGGTCAGGTGGGGTGCTAAACTGACTTAATTTTTATGAAGCTGAAGATTACAAATCTGTGAAGATTATCTGTGAAGAAGACGGCTCAAGCCTCAAGGCCTGAGCCGTCTGCACCCTGTATAAAGTCATCAGTGGACCGGATGAATCGAGTCACAAACAAGCAACAATTCTCACAGGACTCTGGGTCGAATGTGTCACCGACCCAACAGGCAGCTTGACGGAGGCAAAAACAGCGAGAGTCACCCTGAGACAAGGGGACAGAGCAACCCTTAAACTCGCACAAGGTGAGAGGAGATCCAGCGGTCGCATCCAACGAAACCCTTGTGCCCCCGCAGGGTTTTCCAGGGCCCTTAGACTGGTATCGCTAAGGGTAAGCCTAGGCAGGGTACTGCAAACCAGTGCCCAAGTCTACCGATCAAAATTGCTAAAAGCTGAACGCTCGGGACGTGTCCACTTACGGGGGGCCTGGCATGGGGTACCACCCAGAAACAGATATATAAAACCTAAGTCATAGACAGGGGGCAACGGACCAAAAGGCAGACCCATCATCAGGCAGAAAAAAAACAAGAGGACAACGTACCCAGGCGGAACAGAGTCGGTTGCTATAATAGGTAACAACTAGCTCTGTAGTACCCCGCGCCCCTACCAGTGCAAATTACCCCTTACCCCAAGGTAAACAAGGGAGGAGGAAACCCCCAGCATACTCAGGGCGGTCAATTATCGAGCAGCAAAAAGACCAACAGAGATAGACCCTAAGGTGACTTGCAGGAGATAACCCCCAAGCCCCAAGGGCAGTACTTACAGGACACTTAGGGAAGGGAATCCGAAGCACATGCAGCCCGAGTACCAGTGAAGATTACTCCCAGCTCAAGCACCACCCTGAAGACAGCACTAAACACAAGGCACAGCAATGAGACAAGAAACAGGAGCTGGAGTCACACGACCAAGCCTCAAACACATCAGCTGAGAACCGGAGGTGTGGGTTATCTTTTTGAAGTTACCTTGAGATGATTTCAGGGCTTAGCGTCCCCGCGGCCCAGTCCTCGACCAGGCCTCCTTTTTGTTACACACCCCCTAGGAAGTAGCCCATAGTAGCTGTCTAACTCCCAGGTACCTATTTACTGCTAGGTAACAGGGGACATCAGGGTGAAAGAAACATTTGCCCATTTGTTTCCGCCTCCACCGAAGATCGAACCCGGAACCTCAGGACTATGAATCCAAAGCGCTGGATTCATAGTCCTACCAGCTGTTAGGCGCCCTAGGTAGCCGGTGCGAGGGATGGGGCTCCCCCTTCCCCCTCCCATGAAGGGGGGAGCTGTGCAGACAGTGGCGCGGCAACGTGGTGACGTCATGCTTATTTGCTCGTTTTCCTTTGGAGGTCTGTCCACTCGTTTTACTTTTATTAGTAGTTTCAACCAGAATAGGGGTTTGTTTTGGGGTGCTTACCTTTCTGGGTGCCTGATCCAGTAGATGACATACATAGAATGCTCCAAAAGCACATTTGCATTTCTATAGGCGATTGCTCCTTGTGCCTCTCTGAGGGGGCCAGGTTCTGGCTCGTGGTCCCCGGTAAGCCTAAGAACTCCATTCAAACTGATGCCAAAGTCTAAAAGTTCCAATATTAGGCTAGATAACTCCGGGGAGCCGAAGGAGGCTCCCCCCAGAAAACTACTGTTTTTAGAATAATTTATTTTCGGCACTCACGGGAATGTCATTTTAAAAGGTGTGCAGTGCAGGGGTTAACCTACTCTCTACCAAAGATCAGACAATTCATAATGACCGAACTGTACAATTTTTTACTAAAGAACCTATTGATACTAACACTTTCCTAGAGTACAACAGCCTGGAAAAATCTCAACATGATATGAGCAAGGTAAATTCAGAGGTTTACTGCAATATATTACTTGTATTTGCCCCTCACGAGAGACTTACTGAGACGCACACAGTTATGAAGAATATACTGGGAGGATACTCGTATGTTGGGCAAACAAGTACTGTTCTAACCTGTTAACAGATAACTAAAGGGAAAAACATCAATTAAATTTTCATGCACTACTTGCATATTAAATAGCTACATGCAACACTCGACATTAAGTAGTCCAGAACACAAATTTTATTTAGAAAACTAGAAAATAAGGAAAAATATCACTGTAGAGAGATATGAAACACACATGTCTAGACATGGTTTGATTGCAAGAAGCCAATAAAATATGATATCTCTAGGCTAGCCTCTCCCGTGACATGAACAGGCCGATTAATTAAATGATTATTTAATACCAAAAGTGTAGTAACTATGGTAAGTGCAATGAATAGAGAATAAAATGAGTAGAGAGTTGTGTAATGAGTACAGGAGTGAAATAAGTTCAGGAAGTGTAGTTAGTTCAGTGGGGTACAATGAACACAAGCTGGTATAATAGGTGGTGCATCGAGTTCAATGAACACGAAGGAGGAGTTAAACTGCCAAGTAATTAATAATTAGCCAAGCTCCCTGCCAAAGGAGCTTCAGTAAGTGTAAAAGCTGATAAACTTTATTGTATATATGACCACATAGAAACAGGTATAAGCAAAAATCCTAAACTAAAAATAGGAAGAAAGCCAAATGAACTTCGGTGTAAAAATACAATGTAAATAAGGCATGCATAAATAGTTCAGTTGCACATTAAGGTATTGTTACTACTGTATAAGCAAAATCCTCTCACAAGGAATGTTGTCAGAAGATTTGTAATCACATACACAGGTGTTTGAAGGTCCCTTACCACGATCTGACACCAGGAAACCACGTCGCCACACAGATGGGGAACTGCTACGTGTCTCCCTGAGCACCACTGCTGCTGCTGAGGATGTGGAGGGTTGGCAGGCAGAGGAAGGAACCACTTGCTGACTGTTCATGCTCTCAACACCACTAATCCCACTGCTACTTGTACTAACTCTTCCATCGTTGCTATTAATAAAACCACCGTCACTAGAGCCAAGTTTCCTGTTACCACCACCAGCACCGCCACTGCCGTGTACCTCCCCGGCACCAGAATTAACGTCCGCTTTATTAACGAGCTCTGAAGAAGCTTGATCCGAGACGGCCGCCCCCACGGGGAACACCACCTGGGACCTGACATGCTCTGTAGTACCAGCCCCGACGGTCATCACTGCCGAGGTTATGATGGTGGCGGGGACAGGTGGCAGCACCTCACCAGGGGAGTCCCTGCCAGAGGCGATGCCCAGGTGGGGGATCACAGGAGTAACATCTCCAGAGATGACTGCTGAGGAGAGCAACCATGCATCTATGTAGTCAGCCAATTACAAAGCCCAGGCAGGAAATACATCACATAAACAAGCTTTATGTTCCACCAAGTTTAGACCAAATTATGACATGCACCAGCTGGAGGCAACTACATTATTAATCACAATAATATTAAAGTATAGTATTAGCAAAGAAAAATATTAGGAGCACAAGCAATATTGATCATTGAAGAAAATATTATACAAATGTTAAAATGCAACTACTGAACAAAAATAGTTACGAACTAAAACTGCTTTCGTAAATTTTTACCTTCCAAGAGACTGCTTTGAAAGAAAATGCTTTTAATGTAAAAAATAAAAATAATAAGCATACAGTACTTTATCATATTTCCACTCGCATTCATAAAACGACTCCCATATCTGCCTCACATCTACACCCGTGCTCATGCCACATCTATAGGGTACCACGCTTACCATACATGCCCACATCCAAATGGAGAAACTAAATGAAAACTTACTTTCCAGCCGTTCCATATTCACTTCACATCCCAGTCATACCCACACACCTTCATTAACACGAAGTTAATAATATTATGTGGTGAAAAACAAAGCTCTGACCATTTGTTTATATTGAAAACTGTACTTCAGAGAATCTGATTTGTTGAGAACTAAGGATCACTCTTATAAGTCATATGTAACAAAATTAATCTGATTTAAATTGTGAAATATTACTAAAAAATTCCAAAAATTTTAACACTGGCATAACATTGGTACAAATAAGAGTAATTACTGAAATGAAGTTACATTATGCGATAAAAAGCTCGTAAGAGTAATTTTGAATAACTTTTTCTTTGCGCGGCATTAATGTGACTGTAGACTAAAATAAGGGCCCAGGACAGATAAATTATTTCACAAGGCTGTGAGATTGTTCTTGCTATGTCAACTAAATTGCCACAGGTGACATACCACTGTCAACAAACTGTTGATCTCATAAAACACACAACTTACTGAATCTTTCATTTCCTCCTGACACAGTTTAATGGGCAACGAATACAAATAATGGTCGTGTAAAAATACCCATTTAATGCGAGATAACTATTTAAATATTCAATAAAGTTCTGTTGTGTTTGGTATGGTTTAATTACGTTTCAAGTTTTTATCTGCCTGAAAAGATTATTTTCTTGATGAGAATAAATACACTCACTACATTTGCACACACCAGTAGTGCATTTACTGAGGTGTTCAACACTTGTTGACAAACATAGTCAACTTCTCATGTCATTTTGACGTCATATAATCCGATGGTAAAATTTAAACATTGGATTCACAACCAAGCAGAAAAACTTTTCATTATTTTAGGTAGTGATCTATTTCAAGATCCTTAGATATAAAAAATTAATGAAATAATAAAAATGCAGATTGTATTACACATGACGTCTAACAATAAAGTACACACTGCAGTATGTTTGTAGTTGACCAGGGTACATCACTTGTAGATTTCAGAGGCTAATGCATTACCACCTAAAGGACATAAAGTGCCGCAAGATCGCATATGCAATGCTAATGCTGAGCTATTTCTGTATCATTTGAAAACATCGTACAACTTTTTAAAACTAAATATAAGTCATATATCAAATTCCATATATAAAACCAATTTGTAACCAGGAAATAACATTATATAAAACATAACCAGAGTGAGCCAGTATCTTCCTCTCTCAACATTTGTTTGAACCATTAACTTTTAAGCTGCACAGAACGTCATATCAAGTTGGACATAGAGCTCAGTTTTTAAAATTTGCTCAAATGCTTTCAAATGTTTTGTGCATAATTTAATAGGCAAATGTTCCAACTTTGTCTAAATGATACCAACGTAACTTGAAAAACAAGAAAGTAAAAAATAATTATAAAATTGAATATTGAAAACTTCAGGTTTTGAAATCAGCTGCAAAAATATTACTAATTGTTCATTTGGTGTTATTATGCTCTCAGAATAGCATATGATCTTCATTTTCATATGCCCTGTATTTAGAATATAGGTTTTCAGCACAGTTTACTGTAAAAAAAAATAGCATTTGCCATCAATATGGCATTTGATATATGTGCAAATTTAGACAACAAAAATTTATAACTCCAAACCTTTAGGGTTTATGAAAAATCAATTCTATAGTGATTGTAGAACAGACAGCTGTGCACACTATATGTAAAAATGATGAGAATCGGCCAGAAACTATATCTTTGGATACAGAAGTTGAAATTCAAGTTATAGATATAATTGAAGTTGAAGTTATTGACAATGAATAAGGCAGTTCTAATTCATTAATTTACTTGTATGTTTTAATAAACATTGTTTGGCATTCATACTCGAATGTGAAAGTTGTAGGTCAATGTGTATTGAAGTGAAATACAAGAAAAAATAAAAAATACAAGAAAGAAAAAAAATAGGGATAATATAATGATTTAGGGTATATTTTATGTAAGTGGAAAACCCCTAAACGCGTCCCTAATCAACATAACCTAAAGAGACAAAGAAAATAAGAGTTTGAAATCTATGAAAAAATCAGCTAAAAAAAAATCAGTCCAAAGTTCTGCGAGTTGTGACTGATTTATTTGGTAACCAATTTCATTCTATCTTCACATAGTTAGGGACGGGTATGCACTCTCCAGGATGTGACGGTTACAACAAAATCTGATAATAAACTTTGGACAAAACTATAAATGTACAGAAAAAAAAATACCCTTAAAAAAATTTAACATTGATGAAAGTAACATATTAACATTGGGCAATGTATTTATATGATATATAACAAAATAAAGCATAACATACACATTATGATTTGTGTTATTATGAATTACTCAGTAATGCTATAAATGCACCAGCAGCTGCATATTCACTTTATGGACACTTCTTACTACTATTCTTCTTCTTTGTGCAATGGATAGGAGCTTGCATATCTTTATTACTACATTAACCATCAGTTCCAGTTAATAGGAGCTGTTCTCCTTATCAACCAAACGTTCTTCTTTTTAAAAAATTCACCTAAATTAAATTTCTGAAAATATTTTGATGAAAGTTTCACGACGCTGAAGCCAATAAGTCGGAGATTTGTTTAACCTTTTTAAGTAATTTTGACATAATTTGAATATTTTTCGCTTCCCGGCCGCTAATGCTGAGCGGTTTAAGGGTTAACCCTTAAGTTGCGCAACACATCATATGATGGGTTGAGTGACTTGCTATAAAATGCGCATCCCATCATATGATGTATTGGAGTACTACGCAAGATTTAAACGGCCCGCGGATACACGGGGTTCACCTCACCTTCATCAGGGCTCTTGTAAACAGACGCCATTTAAAAAAAAATCGTGGGCCAAATTCCCGGGTGTGAGGGTCTCAGTATTGAGTGAGCTACCAAGCCTGACGCACGCAGCATGAGCTCACAGCACTGCTGTGAGCTCATGAGTTCAGCTTGTGACCACAGCATCACCTAAAATGCCATAATATATATGTTCATGCTATTATTTAGCAATGATAATATTACAGAAAACCCCTGACTGTGATAAAAATGACCAGGATTCTGATAATAGCAGGATTGTTGTGATAATTAGCGCTGTAGTGGGAGGAGTAATCTTGGTGGGGAGGGAGGTAGCATTGTCTGCTGACTCTGTGTGACCACCTTTTACTGTCTGGACTCACTATACCAGCTTAGTTGTTCGCTATGGTGAACAAAACATGCAGATACTTATATATAACGTCTGTATATAAAAGCAAAAACAGTATGGTGGGAGGAGAATGGTGGCGAGTCAGGTGAGGTGACGGAGGGAGGAAGTAGCAGCCAGTGGCAGGCTGCCACTGCCACTCGGCATACCAACTTAGTGGTTCGTTATGGTGAACACAAATGTAGATACTTATATATAACGTGTATATACAGTGTAATAACAGCAAAAGGAGTGTGGGGGAGAAGCCATTTTGGTGATGGGTGTGGCAACATCTGCATGATTTGTCATGTTGGTAGGGGTGGCCACTATGCTCTTTGGGCATTATACCGGCTTAGTTGAACAGTTATGGTGAACAAAACATGTAGATACTTATATATAACGTCTGTATATAGGGTAATAACACCACAAACAGTATTGTTGGGGGTGAAATTTTAGTGCGTCTGACCTTGAATGTGTGAGGGAGGCAGCCGCCAGCTGACTGTGTGTAGCGACGTCTCTTAGTGCCTGAACTAACTATATCAACTTAGTTGTACAGTTGTGGTGAACAAAACATGTAGATACTTATATATAACATCTGTATATAGTGAATAAAAGCAAAAACAGTATTGTGGGAGGAGAATGTGGGTGAGTCAGGTGAGTTGAGGGAGGGAGGAAGTGGCAGCCAGTGGCGGGCTGCCACTGGCTGCCACTGCCATTGAGCATGCCAACTTAGTGGTTCGTTATGGTGAACACGAATGTAGATACTTATATATAACATCTGTATATAGTGAATAAAAGCAAAAACAGTATGGTGGGAGGAGAATGTGGGCGAGTGAGGTGTTGAGGGAGTGAGTGGCAGCGAGTGGCTGGCTGGTGTGTGGCGGTCACTCCTTGTTGCTTTTTGACTCATAATACCAACTTAGTGGTTCGTTATGGTGAACAAAACATGCAGATACTTATATATAACCTGTGTATATAGTGTAATAACCGACAAAGTATTTGTTCACTGTTTGATGAACATAATTGAATCAACAATATGCACACCATAATTTTGAGTACAGCGATGATTCACTCATTTTATTATATAAATATATCACACTACACACTATTGAATAATACTACAGTAAAAAAACTATGAAAAATCAGAGACATTTAAATAATTAGGTAATTATCTCTTTGTGGCCACTCCTGCCTGACAGCTGGGAGCAACAGACCGTCTGGGACGCACGCCGAGTCAGCACCTGTTTTCTGCCAGACTTCCCCGCCCTATAGCGGGCAATATATGCCACTTATGATTTTTTTATTATTTTTCCTATGATCAGAGAACACAAATTAACAGGTTTAGAAGAATTTTTTTTTTGGTATGCGCCTGTGGGTGACAAATGCTAATTAGCCCTGAGCAACACAAGGGTTAACTTTTGGCCACCTAAATGCAACCATATCATGTTACTTACATCACCTCACAGCCTAGATATGAACTATGTATTGAACAAGAAACATTCAACACAGTTATATTCCCACACTAGTGGAGCTGATGCAGCACAAAGTAGAATATTCCCACACTAGTGAAGCTGATGCAGCACAAAGTAGAATATTCCCACACTAGTGGAGCTGACATGAAGTGGAATATTCTCTACACCAGGGGGGGGGGTAGCGATGTACCATGACATTGGGCAATTCCCTAAACTAGGTGTAATGCCATATTAGGAATAGTGAAACCATTACCTACCCCGAGAACGTGTGCTTCATCAACACACATTTGGGTTTCTAATATCCTTAGTGTACACAATTTTGTCTTATCATTGTAGTCACAAGATGTTAATATCAATAATAAATATATTCTAAAGCCTGTTAGTCTCTGCAATATGGTCTATGGGATGTTAGTTTCTACAGTAAATAGTCTAAAGGATGCTAAATTCAGTTCTAAATGGCTTAAAATACGTTAATATTTGCAATTAATGTATAAATTATAAACAGTATATACATAATTATAAATCCTCAAGAATATTTATTCCGGTACCATAATTTCTATAAGATAATGATACACTGTACATCACAAACCTAGTGACGTCTTCGAATCACGTTTGCTGAAGAAGTTGGTTGAGCTCGAGCCATGTTTGGTGCTGTGCGGGGATTTGAGGGTGGCCGGCGAGCGTTCAGTGTGGCTAGAGAGTGAGGTGGAGACACCAGGTAGTGTACCATCCCCATCTAGATCATATGCTGGAGTGCTATGGCTCTTGTCTAGTTTGGGCCTATCCTCAGAAACACGACGTGGCCTGCCAGATACATCTTGCACAGACTCACGGCTAGAATTAATGGTCTTATCGGGAGAGACTGTACCATACTGCAAGGAAGGTGACTGAGCGTGTGCAACTAATGCTGGACTTCCTACTCTTCCATTTGTATTGTCCTCTGTCAACAGTGGACGATGAGCCACTGAAGGAGAGGAGGTGTGACTTCCTGTTGCTGCACCATAGTTAGTAGGCTTCCGTGGTGGCAGTGGTATGACGTTGACTACTTTCTTTTCATATTTTTCTTCACCTGACAGACATTCTTGGTCAGCATTTCTCTTTCCATTCTTGCCACCTGTGTCATCAGCTGACTTGCCTCCACCTTCCTTCACAGGACATTCTACCTGTCCACCTTCTTTGAGCATTGCTTCCTTCCTTTCTCTTATCAGCCTGATTTTATTTTCAGTGCCTATGCAAGTGTGCGGACGGGCAACACGGTCCGACCCACCAGATCCTCTTAACAAATCTGGGTCCGATGGGTCAGAGCCCTCAATAAATCCACCCCGGCCCCCACGAATCCATTTCACATCCTGCAAAAGCTGGAAAAAACAATTGCATGTACATTAATCATCCCCATCATTTAGTCAGTATTTCAAGTAGAAATTAATAAAATATTTTATTTTCAAATATATATGGCAAACCACATTAAAAATATGTGTATAAAGCACCCTGAATCCCAATACAGGCACACGAGTCTACTACAGCACATGGTAAATGAAGGGATTAAGCTGCAAATAATTATGTCTGGCAAGAATCCTGATTAGTCAATAAATGTGAAATTAACTTATAAGCAACAAAGTACACAACTAGGATGGATTAATCAAGTGATATCTTATTTAACCTTCAAACCGCGCATATCACATATAAATGATATCAGTGACAAAACCGAAACCGCGCACATCATTTATATATGATTTCGTGTCTAGCGCTATAATTTAAACGCCCCGCCTGGGATAGGGGCAGCTATAGTACAGCCACGACCGATAGTTACCAGATGCCACCTAGAAAAAAAATCCAGGCCAACATTCTTGGGTGCTACAGTGTCAGTATTGAGCAAGCCACCAAGGCTGGTGCACGCAGCACGAGCTCACAGCACCACTGTTCAGCTTGTGACCACAGCATTGCCTACAAATACCATAATATAAATGATACTGCTATTATTTAGCAGTGATAGTATTACTGAAACCCCCTGACTGTGATAAAACTGACCAGGATTCTGATAACAACAGGATTGTGGTGATATTTAGCGCTGTGCTCCATGGAGGGAGGAGTAAGGCTGTGGGAGGGAGGGTTGTGGCGTCGTTTTCTGACTGTGTGTGGCCACCATTTATTGACTGCACTCACCATACCAGCTTAGTGGTTCGCTATGGTGAACACAAATGTAGATACTTATATATAACATGTGTATAGTGTGAGATAACAGCGAGAGGAGTAGGTTGGGAGCCGCCATTTTGGTGAGGGAGGAGTGTCGTCTGCACGACTTGGCATGTTGTTTACTGATGGCCACTATGATCTTTGGGCACCATACCAGCTTATTTGTTCAGGTATGGTGAATAAAACAGGTAGATACTTATATATAATGTGTGTATATAGCGTAATAACACCACAAACAATATTGTTGGATGACAAATATTAGTGCGTCTGGCCTTGAGGGCGGCCGCCAATCAGCTGACTGTGTGAGTAGCTACGTCTTATGGCCTTTACTCACCATACAAGCTTAGATGTACAGTTATGGTGAAAACATGTAAATACGTATATATAACGTCTGTGTATAGTGAATAAATACAGAAAGAGTATTGTGGGAGGTGAATGAGGGTGAGTGAGGTGGTGTTGAGGGAGGGAGTGGCAGTGAGTGGCTCACTGGTGTTTGGCAGTCACTCCTCGTTGCTTTTTGACTCAAGACCAACTTAGTAGTTCGTTATGGTGTACAAAACATGCAAATACTTATATATAACCTGTGTATATAGTGTAACAACAGCAAAACTATTTGTTTATTGTTTTATGAAAATAATTGAATCACTAATATGCACTCCATAATTTTGAGTACAGTGATGGTTCACACATTTTATAATATAAATATACCACAATTCACTGTATGGAGTAATATTACTGCAAAAAAACTAAAAAAATAAATCAGAGACATTGAAATAATTAGGTAATAATATATTTGTGGCAACTGCCATCTGACAGCTCGGGCGGAGTAGACCTCGTCTGGCGAAGGCTCTGCCAACACCCCTTTTTTGCCACACTTCCCTACCCTATTGCGGCTAAAATATGCCACCTACGATTTTTTTGTTATTTTTTCCGTGATCAGGGAACAAAAATGAACACTTCTATATGACGAAAGAATTTTTTGGATTTTTTTTTTTGTTGCGCCTGTGGGTGTGAATTCCATTTGGGCCCCTAGCGGTTTGAGGGTTAAACTCATCAGTTTATCAATGTGCAAATACATGGTAATTAATTTTTATTAAAAGTTTACATGTTAATTTCAGTACAGTACGTATATAGTATTCAAGAAACACAATGTGTAAGCATAATGAACAATAAATAATAAAATGATGTGATAACACAGAAAATTCAAAGTGTTAAAAAATACAATAAAAAAATATTAGACCCAAAGATCCCTGGAATGCTACTCTCAACACTTAAGAGGACATTTCACCTGGTCAAAGCTGAGAGAAGGTCTGGTGGTGGCTCCAGGTATTGTGGCACGACGCTGCACTGGTGCACGAGGTTTTGGGTGGTATAGACGCACACTGACAGGAGATGTGCCGGCAAGGTCACTGTCAGACAAGAACGGATCATCCTCAGAGTCAGAGGCTTCCGACTCCCTGTCCGATGTGGTGCTCGGTACATCGCTGCACAGATGAAGACAAACAATGATAAAATGGGCAACAGTGATGACATGTACAGCATACTGAACTGGCTAGTAGTAAAACTGGTGACAGAATATTTAAGTTTAAATGAGAGAAAATATGACACTAGTAAACAGAGGCGTGCCAAGGGAGGTGTAAATGCCCTTGGGTGCCTAGATGAGTGCCAAGGACGGTAACAAGAGGTATGAAAGATGAGCAATGAAACTGTTCTAAAGTGACAAACATTAATGTGCTTAATATTGATCGATATTAACATGGCATAAGAGTATACTGGACTCACAACCAGGAGTCGCATCTATTGAGAAAACTCACCCAAGAGACGGTGGAGGCTGTGGCGATGGTGCTGCCTGCTGTGGAGGAGGAGTTATGGATTTAGGACGCCGTACCAGGTTCTCTTCACGCCTCAAAGGCATCTTGTCTACTGACCTGGTGGGAGTAACACTTTTTAGTGTGGCAGGTCAAATTTATCACTATTTACAACAGTGATAAGATCAATAGGAGCTAAGACTCAATAAGAAAGCATGTCTGTCTGCCAAAGGTTGGAGGCCAGATGCTTAGGGCAAGCCTCACCCAACTCTCACACACAAAGCATGAGAGGTACGAGTGTCACAGGCCAGCCGAGGTAGGCTCCAGTGTAGGTAGGCCACACATTAAATACCTCCATCTAAACCCCCCCCCCCCCCTCCCAACCCCCATGCAATTTTCTGAAAGAAAAGTCTGAAATGTTAAAATGTTGGTTTTGTTGTCCATAGATTTATTCAGCTGTTCTAGTCACATCTAGTGCTTTATGTTCTAGTGAACATATGACCCCTGTATGACTAACCATCCTGCGAGATGGGGACTCTTAGTATCACTACTACTTTACTCAATTTAATGTTTATGATGATATCCTCATAATGCACCCATACATAATGCATGCAGACTGCAGACTACTGATCACATGCCTCTGTATGACTAACCATACTGTGTGATGGGGATTTTTAGCATCACGTAGCTAGCATTTTGACACACTGTACTTCCCTTCATATAGTCTAGGGGAACTGCACAAATGCAGATGTAGCTAAATGTGTTAATGTAAAAACAAATCTAGTGCTGTTGTATAATTCCGAGAGAGAGTGTGGGGAGAGGCAGAGGAGAAGGGTGAGGGAGGGGGTGAGGGAGGGGGGTGGGGGTGGGGGAGGGGGAGAGGGAGGGGGGGAGGGGGGGAGGGGGGAGAGGGAGGGGGAGGGGGAGGGGGGGGGGAGGGGAGAGGGAGGGGGAGAGGGAGGGGGAGAGGGAGAGGGAGGAGGGAGAGGGAGGGGGAGGGGGGAGAGGGAGAGGGAGGGGGAGGGGGAGGGGGAGAGGGAGGGGGAGGGGGAGAGGGAGAGGGGAGGGGGGGAGGGGAGAGGGGAGGGGGAGGGGGGAGGAGGGAGGGGGGGGGGGAGAGGGAGGGGGAGGGGGAGAGGGAGGGGGAGAGGGAGAGGGAGGGGGAGGGGGAGAGGGAGGGGGAGAGGGAGAGGGAGAGGGAGGGGGAGGGGGAGAGGGGGAGGGGGAGGGGGAGAGGGGGGAGGGGGGAGATGGGAGAATGTATGAAGGAATGAGAAGGGGGATATTTGAAGAGAAAATTGGATAGATGTGAGGAGGGCGGGTAGACGTGATGAGAGGGGGATAGAAGTGAGAGGGAGGGGGGGGGGAATAGACGCGAGAAGGGAGGGGGGGGAATAGACGCGAGAAGGGGGGGGGGGGAATAGACGCGAGAAGGGGGGGGGGGGGGGGAATAGACGCGAGAAGGGGGGGGGGGGGAATAGACGCGAGAAGGGGGGCAATAGACGCGAGAAGGGGGGCAATAGACGCGAGAAGAAGGGGGGCAATAGACGCGAGAAGGGGGGGCAATAGACGCGAGAAGGGGGGGGGGGGCAATAGACGCGAGAAGGGGGGGGGCAATAGACGCGAGAGGGGGGGGGGGCAATAGACGCGAGAAGGGGGGGGCAATAGACGCGAGAAGGGGGGCAATAGACGCGAGAAGGGGGGCAATAGACGCGAGAAGGGGGGGGCAATAGACGCGAGAAGGGGGGGCAATAGACGCGAGAAGGGGGGGGCAATAGACGCGAGAAGGGGGGGGGCAATAGACGCGAGAAGACGGGGGGGGGGAATAGACGCGAGAAGGGGGGGGGGGGGAATAGACGCGAGAAGGGGGGGGGAATAGACGCGAGAAGGGGGGGGGAATAGACGCGAGGGGGGGGGGAATAGACGCGAGAAGGGGGGGAATAGACGCGAGAAGGGGGGGAATAGACGCGAGAAGGGGGGGAATAGACGCGAGAAGGGGGGGAATAGACGCGAGAAGGGGGGGAATAGACGCGAGAAGGGGGGGAATAGACGCGAGAAGGGGGGGAATAGACGCGAGAAGGGGGGGAATAGACGCGAGAAAGGGGGGGAATAGACGCGAGAAGGGGGGGAATAGACGCGAGAGAAGGGGGGGAATAGACGCGAGGAGGGGGGGAATAGACGCGAGAAGGGGGGGAATAGACGCGAGAAGGGGGGGCAATAGACGCGAGGAGGGGGGGCAATAGACGCGAGAAGGGGGGGGAATAGACGCGAGGAGGGGGGGAATAGACGCGAGGAAGGGGGGGAATAGACGCGAGAAGGGGGGGAATAGACGCGAGAAGGGGGGGAATAGACGCGAGGAGGGGGGGAATAGACGCGAGGAGGGGGGGAATAGACGGAGAAGGGGGGGAATAGACGCGAGAAGGGGGGGAATAGACGCGAGAAGGGGGGGAATAGACGCGAGGAGGGGGGGAATAGACGCGAGGAGGGGGGGGAATAGACGCGAGGAAGGGGGGGAATAGACGCGAGAAGGGGGGGGAATAGACGCGAGAAGGGGGGGGGGAATAGACGCGAGGAGGGGGGGGGAATAGACGCGAGGAGGGGGGGGGATAGACGCGAGAAGGAGGGGGGGGGGGAATAGACGCGCGAGGGGGGGGGAATAGACGCGAGAAGGGGGGGGGGAATAGACGCGAGAAGGGGGGGGAATAGACGCGAGAAGGGGGGGGAATAGACGCGAGAAGGGGGGGGAATAGACGCGAGGAAGGGGGGGGAATAGACGCGAGAAGGGGGGGGAATAGACGCGAGAAGGGGGGGGGAATAGACGCGAGAAGGGGGGGAATAGACGCGAGAAGGGGGGGAATAGACGCGAGAGGAGGGGGGGGAATAGACGCGAGAGAGGGGGGGGGAATAGACGCGAGAAGGGGGGGAATAGACGCGAGAGAAGGGGGGGAATAGACGCGAGGAGGGGGGGAATAGACGCGAGAAGGGGGGGGAATAGACGCGAGAGGGGGGGGGGGAATAGACGCGAGGAGGGGGGGGAATAGACGCGAGGAAGGGGGGGAATAGACGCGAGGAGGGGGGGGGAATAGACGCGAGAAGGGGGGGAATAGACGCGAGGAGGGGGGGAATAGACGCGAGAAGGGGGGGATAGACGCGAGGAGGGGGGGGATAGACGCGAGGGGGGGGGGGGGGGGGGATAGACGCGAGGAGGGGGGGGGGGATAGACGCGAGGAGGGGGGGGGATAGACGCGAGGAGGGGGGGGGATAGACGCGAGGAGGGGGGGGATAGACGCGAGGAGGGGGGGGAGATAGACGCGAGGAGACGCGGGGGGGAGATAGACGCGAGGAGGGGGGGGGGGATAGACGCGAGGAGGGGGGGGGATAGACGCGAGGAGGGGGGGGATAGACGCGAGGAGGGGGGGGATAGACGGGGGGGGGAAGATAGACGCGAGGAGGGGGGATAGACGCGAGGAGGGGGGGGGATAGACGCGAGGAGGGGGGGATAGATGCGAAGAGGGGGGGATAGACGCGAGGAGGGGGGGGGATAGACGCAAGGAGAGGGGGGGGGGATAGACACAAGGAGGGGGGGGATAGACGTGAGGAGGAGAGGGGGATAGACTTGAGGAAGGGGGGGGATAGACTTGAGGAAGGGGGGGGATAGACTTGAGGAAGGGGGGGGATAGACTTGAGGAAGGGGGGGGGATAGACTTGAGGAAGGGGGGGGGGATAGACTTGAGGAAGGGGGGGGGATAGACTTGAGGAAGGGGGGGGATAGACTTGAGGAGGGGGGGGGATAGATTTGAGGAAGGGGGGGATAGACTTGGGGAAGGGGGGGAGGATAGACGTGAGGAGGGGGGGAGGATAGACGTGAGGAGGGGGGAGGATAGAAGTGAGGAGGGGGGAGGATAGACGTGAGGAGGGGGGAGGATAGACGTGAGGAGGGGGAAGGATAGACGTGAGGAGGGGGGAGGATAGATGTGAGGAGGGGGGAAGGATAGACGTGAGGAGGGGGGGAGGATAGACGTGAGGAGGGGGGGAGGATAGACGTGAGGAGGGGGGGAGGATAGATGTGAGGAGGGGGGGATAGATGTGAGGAGGGGGGGGAAAGATGCGAGGAGGGGGTCTGACAGCTGGGTGGACAGCGCTTCAGATTCGTAGTCCTGAGGTTCAGGGTGTGATCCTCGGTGGAGGCGGAGATAAATGGGCAAAAAGTCTCTTTCACCCTGATACCCGTTACCTAGCAGTAAATAGGTACCTGGGGAGTTACACAGCTGCTATGGCCTGCTTTATGGGGGGGTGTAACAAAAAGAAGGCCTGGTCGAGGACCGGGCTGTGGGGTCGCTAAGCCCCAAAATCATCTCAAGATAACCTCAAGATAGACCGACAAGAATGAGACAGGAAGATGAACCAGCTATGCTTGATCTGATATTTACCCTAAATGAGTGGGATATAAGGGAAATTAAGTTGGAAGCACTCTTGGGAATGAATGATCACAGTGTATTAATCTTTGAGTACCCGGTAGAGCTAGAATTTCTCTCCCCCAAAAAAGAACTAGGAAACAAAAGGCTGGCATATCGAAAGGGATACCATGGGAAACAGACCTCAGAGCTAAGTCTGTACAAGACATGATGGACTATGTCCCCCAAAAGTGTCAGAAAGCAGTAAACAGGTTCAACCCGGCCCAAAAGGAAAAATCCGAGAAGCAAAAGAAGAATCCATGGTTTAATAGGGCATGTATGGAAGCAAAGGAACTGAACAAAAGGTCGTGGAGGAACTTCCGAAATAACAAAACACCAGAAAGCAGGGCGAGATACCAGAGAACCAGCAATGAATATGCTAGTGTGAGAAGAGAAGCAGAGAAAAATTATGAAAATGATATGGTAAGCAAAGCCAAGACTGAACCAAACCTACTACACAGTCACATCAGGAAAAAAAACAACAGTGAAAGAACAGGTAATGAAACTTAGAACAGGCAAGGACAGGTATACAGAGAATGACAAAGAGGTATGTGAAGAACTCAAGCAGAGGATCCAGGAGGTCTTCACAATAGAACAAGGTGAGGTCACTGCACTAGGAGAGGGGATAGTAAACCAGGCAGCCTTGGAAGGGTTCGAAATTACGAGAGATGAAGTCAAGAGACACCTGTTGGATCTGCATGTGAGAAAGGCTGTTGGTCCAAACGGGATCTCACCATGGGTATTGAAAGAATGTGCAGAGGCACTTTGCTTGCCACTCTCCATAGTGTATAGTACGTCACTGGAGATACACAAAAAGGGTGACAGGTAAGAGGCACTGAACTACAGGCCAGTGTCCTTGACTTGTGTACCATGCAAGGTGATGGAAAAGATCGTGAGAAAAAACCTAGTAACACATCTGGAGAGAAGGGACTTCATGACAAATCGCCAACATGGGTTCAGGGAGGGTAAATCTTGCCTTACAGGCTTAACATTATCGCGCGCACCATGTGCATAACGCAGACTTTGACGTCATGGGGCTAATGGTGCGGGCGAGCGTGCGGTGATGCCTAAATGTGTATACTCATTTCAGTTTTCTCACCTTAATTCTCGTGCTACGTCATTCGTTTTGGTATCATTGTGTTTGCAATTAAATTCCCTGCAGATGTATATGCATATAATGTCCAAAAGCCTGGTGAGACTCCCCGAAGCAAAGCCTAAAGTTACCCGTGAACGAGCACCAATTTGCACACCACAACCTAATGTGTATACTCGTTCAGTTTGACAACATCAATTTTCATGTTACATCGCTCATTTTGGCAACATAAAGGCGCGCATTTTAAAACTAGTCTCATAATAATAGAGCAATAACCAGAATTTTAACAAATATTTTAATTTTGAATGCTAATCATCAAAATTATATATATCTTTCCAGTGTTCTGACATCAATTTTCATGTTACATCGCCCGGTTTGGTATCAAATTGTTCGCAATATAAAGATGCGCATTTTAAAACTAGTCCCATAATAATAGCACAATAAATAGAATTTTAACAAATATTTTACAATTTAAAATTTAGACCCAAAAACGTATTTATAATCTTTCAAGTGTTCTGACATAAAGTTTTGTGTTACATCTTTCATTTTGGTATCAAATTGTGCGCATTTTAAAGGCGCTTATTTTGAAACTATCCCAAGGTCAATCGGATAAAAATATGAATTTTATACAAATATGGTTTGTAGTGGACACGAGTCCTGTCCACGGCTAGGACTCGGTAGAAAAAAAAATGGACGTGATCAGCATCCAAAGCGAGTGACAGTGTTACAGATTGGCATGAAGTCACCAGTGGAGTCCCACAAGGCTCTGTACTTGGTCCTATCCTGTTTCTGATACCTAGTACTGTATGTAAATAATCTCCCGGAGGGTATAGACTCATTCCTCTCAATGTTTGCTGACGATGCCAAAATTATGAGAAGGATTAGGACAGGAGGACTGCTTGAGGCTTCAAGAAGACCTAGACAAACTGAAGGAATGGTCAAACTAGTGGTTGTTAGAGTTTAACCCAAGCATATATAATAAAGATAGATGTAGGGAGCAGGAGGTCTGAAACAAGGTATCATTTGGGAGATGAAATTCTTCAAGAGTCAGAGAGAGAAAGACTTGGGGGTTGATATCACGCCAGACCTGTCCCCTGAAGCCCATATCAAGAGGATAACATCAGCAGCACACGCCAGGTTGGCCAACACAAGAACAGCATTTAGAAACTTGAGTAAATAATCATTCAGAACATTGTATACCACATATGTCAGACCAATCCTGGAGTATGCAGCTCCAGCGTGGCATCCATATCTATTCAAGCACAAGACTAAACTGGAGAAGGTTCAAAGGTTTGCCACCAGACTAGTACCCGAGCTGAGAGGTATGAGCTACAAGGAGAGCTACAAGGTTTAACAGGAGTTAAACCTCACGTTGCTGAAAGACAGAAGAGTTAGGGGGGACATGATCACCACATATAAGATTCTCAAAGGAATTGATAGGGTAGATAAGGACACACTATTTAACACAAGGGGCACATGCACTAGGGGACACAGGTAGAAACTGAGTGCTTAAATGAGCCACAGAGATATCAGAGAGAACTTTTTTAGTGTCAGAGTGGTTGACAAATGGAATGCATTAGGAAGTGATGTGGTGGAGGCAGACTACATACACAGTTTTAAGTGTAGATATGATAGAGCCTAGTAGGCTCAGGAACCTGTACACCAGTTGATTGATAGTTGAGAGGCGGTACCAAAGAGCCAGAGCTCAACCCCCGCAAGCACAAATAGGTGAGTACACACACACACACATACAAATATGAGATGAAGTACTTAATGAAATGGACAGAGAAAGATCTAAGAATTGATATAACACCAAACCTGTCCCCTGAAGCCCACATAAAAAGAGGCTAGCTTCAGAACAGCCTTCAGGAACCTGTGTAAGGAATCATTCAGAATCTTGTATACCACATACGTAGGACCAATCCTGGAGTATGCGGCCCCAGCATGGAGCCCGTACATTGTCAAGCACAAGACGAAGCTGGAAAAAGTTCAGAGGCATGCCACTAGACTAGTCCCAGAACTAAGAGGCATGAGTTACGAAGAAAGGCTGCGAGAAATGCACCTCATGACACTAGAAGGCAAAAGAGTAAGGGGAGATATGATCATTACCTACGAAATTCTCAGAGGAATTGACAGGGTAGATAAAGATAGACTGTTTAACACAGGTGGTATGCGAACAAGGAGACACAGGTGGAAACTGAGTACCCAAATAAGCCACAGGGATGTTAGAAAGAACTTTTCAGTGTCAGAGAAGTTAAGAGATGGAATGCATTAAGCAGTGATGTGGTGGAGGCTGACTCCATACACAGTTTCAAATGTAAATATGATAAGAGCCCAGTAGGCTCAGGAATCTGTACATCAGTTAATTGACAGTTGAGAGGCAGGGCCAGAGCCAGAGCTCTAACCTAAGCACAATGTGCTTAGGTAATTACATATATATACTGGTGCTTCAAATGGTACAGTTTTGATGCACCAATACAATTCCATTTCCATGTCAAATTTAATACAATATATTATTCTTCAAAGTTAAAAATTACTTCAAAATTTTGGTAATATCATTCTCAGCACTGGAGAAAACTTTAACTACATTCTCAACTTACACCGACAGTTGTAGATTAGGGATGCTCTGTAGGTCGTAACGGGGTGAGGCAGCCAACGAATTAGCCCACGGAGAGTAAGTGCGTTTTTTGCTGGGAAGCCGCATGGGCTTCAAGTATATTTGGGTTACAGTGTTAGCATGCCGAGGGCGTTTCTTTACCGTTAAGATGACTTCGACAGGGAATTCTTGCATAATTGCTGCCACCTTATGAGGACTCCAGCCAATCTGTTGGCAATTATAGAAATCTCTAAAGTGTTGATAAGTGTAAATCTCTTACATTACTATATAATCTGACTAATGATAACATTGTTATTGTGTGTAATTTACATTAATAATATAAAACTTATATGATCCAGCTCACACAAGAGGAGAGATGTGCAAATATAGAGATGAAACATTTAATGGAGAAGAAAGATTAGCACAAAAACAAAGTATAAAATAACCTTTGCATCTTGAATCAGCAGTTATGTTATGGCTGATTGAGTCAGAATAATATGAGGGGAAAACTTTAAATACTATACAATAACAAAGTGGTAGTGAATGCCCTAGAACATGCAAGACAAGACAGTAAATGTGAGCATTGTAACAGATCTCAGTGGACAAAACATGCTCGGATAACATTCAACCAATGACGGTTCAATGTTTTCAACAATGATTCATTGTTACATCAATGTTGTGTGTGTATAGATATTACCCCCTGCCACTTAAGTTACCTATTTTATGAAACAATGGGGGTGCTGTTATGCATGATTTTTAGTGTATGATGCTGCTTGTTTATTCCTCTTACTATACAGTCTCAATGATGTAATGAATGGACTAGTGATATTTTTAAATAATTAGTACCTTCCTTCACTATACTGTTCCACCTTTTTCTTAATGATAATGACAACATATGTAATTAAATAAATCTCTCTCTCAATATAAGATAGTGAAGATCATATTACTAACAACAGTCTGGTAGTTGACTTGCACCAGCTCATCCCCCTCCTGCAGTTTGCCGCACTGGTAAGCCGGACTCAGTGCTCGTACTTCTGACACCTGGTGGACACCGTGGTAAGATGACAGCAACCCTAATCCCTGCAGAAATTCAATCTCTCTTATTCTATGCTCAGAAAAACAAATAAATTTGCATTGTTCAATTAATTAATTACTAATATATTTCAGCACTACATTTTTGGTGTTTTGGTGACCATTCTAATGCAAAAATTCCTTAAACGTCTAAATGTAAGTAAAACATCAGGGAAAGAATCGATACAGCACGTCGCTGCTATACGTCGGGTTTGCTTCTTCCAAGACTTGTGACATCCATGATAAAGATGATATGATTTAAAATTCATGATTAAATCTTCAAGTAAGATCAGCAAATCAGATCTAGCCAGACAGTTGAACATTATGTATGAAAATGAGATTGAAGCTCACAGACACGATTGGACTACTAACCCACTCGTCATCAGCCTTCTTCTTCATGGTGGCAATGTCCAGAGTGGCAGGTTGAATAATCAGAGGGTCACTGTACTCCTGCACCAATAATAACACTACAATTAACCAATCATCATAACATCACAAAACAAGCCATCAAAATTGTGTTTATATATACAATATCCTCAGTACTGGAGGTAATCCTTTGAATTATGGACTAATTATCTCAGAGCCAGCTATTACCTGGATGATTTTATCTGATATGACAGCAAGCCTAAGGCACAACTGGAGAATGATGGTGGCTTGGTTCTCAGCAAACATGTCACGCTGGGCAATGGTTGCAAGTCGAATGCTCAGCTCCACCAGGTCACTCTTAAGGCAATCATACTTTTCCTGGCCTTCAAAAGGTTGCCTGTAAGTAAATTATAAATGTTTAAATGCAGTGCAAATAAAGATATACTGAACTTCTCTCAAGCTATTCAAAAACACACAAAAATGATGAGATTACACTGGAGAAATATTGAAGAAATCAAGGTCCCAGTTGTGAAGAAAATGCCAAGTGCACAACTCATTCCATCAACATGTGCCTTGCGTAGGAGCATTTTCTAGGCCTAGGTGCCTTCACTAGAATTTAGATATTTAGAAAGCATAAATGCACTTTTGACCGAGATATCTAAATAAACACACAGTACAGTGGTACCTTCAATTACGAATTTAATCTGTTGCAAAAGACGGTTCGTAAACCGAAAATTCGTTAAACTGAAACGAATTTTCCCAGAAGAAATAATGCATTGTTGAATTAATCCACTTCACACACCCAAAAATATTAACTTAAAAATACATTTTATACAGAATACTACTCATTTGTTGTACTACAGTATATCCTACCTTTACTGAGAATGCTTGTTGGCATATGAAAAACAGTGAGGAAGGGAGAAAGGAGGAGAGGTGTTAGTTTGGAAGCGGAGTCCCCTTCCATTATATCAGGCGGTGACGTGATTTCTTGGGTACTCTCTCACCTACGTTTTGCAGGCATATCACTGGGACCTGGTTGTGGCTTGCTTGTCTTACTAACAATCTGTCTAAAGACACTTGTTTTTCCCTACGTTTTAACACTTGTCTGCAGTGAGACATCACATTATCATTGAAAAGGTTAATGTAACGGCCTGCTACAGCTTTATCCGATTGAGTTTTTTCAACAAAACTTTGCAGTTCTTCCCATACTGCACACATTTTCTTAATAAGGAAGGGACATCCTTTACTCACAATTATTTTCTTAGGTTGAACTTTACCAATGACTTTCTTGGGACCCATAGCATGATATATAATTATTTTTATGTTCAGAAACCAAAAAACCAGCATTGAAGGTAATGAAATGCCATTTTCTGGGTGAGACCCGGAGGCTCCCCAGAGCTATCCAGGGTGATATGCTAATGTCAGACTTTGGTATCAGTCATGTGTATGGAATTCTGTAGGCCTACTGGGGACCATGAGCCAGAACCTAGCACCCCTCAGAGGCACGAGGAGCCTAGGGTTAGGCACCCAGAAAGGTAGGCGTCACAAAACAAACCCCTATTCTGGTGAAAATTGCTACAAAAAGCCAAACAAGTGGATAGAACATAGCCAAACAGAAACGAGCAAACGAGTATGATGTCACACGTCGTCATGCCGCCATCTGTGCAGTTTCCCCCTCCCCAGGAGGGGGAAGGGGAAGCCCCAGACCCCTGCGCCGACCATCCACATCCAAGTTCTGAGGCTGGATATCAAAACTTGTGGCCCATGTGAAAAACCGCCGACCTGAGGGAGGGAAGGTTGTCGGGGATCCTCTGGGTCTCACCCAGAAAATGGGGTTTCATTACATTCAACGCTGGTTTTCTGTGGGGAGCCCCGTCGGCTCCTCGGAGCTACCTAACCGAAGACGAAAACAAGGGACCTAACCCGGGAGGCAAAAGTCGCTCACCCCCAAACGCAAAGTGGAGACAAAAGACCATAACTGCCAACCCAAGGCCATACAGGCCCGACAAGGCCCAGAAACATCAACGAAGGAAAGCATAGCCAACCTACGAACAACATGGGCATGGGGGATAGACAGCAGGCTGGCAGGACTGAACCACCCCGCGGACGACCCGAGAGAACCGTACTCTGGAACAGGGAAGAAGGGAAACCGGAACAACCCAAAGGGTGACCTCGGTCACGGCAGCCATAGCACGCAAAGAGCGGCGAAATGCCGCAACTGAACACAACACATGATGCACCCCCGGCCAGACCAACCAATCAACAACAACCCAAGGACCCCTCCAGAAAGCGGCCGCGTCAGTCATTGTCAGAAAAAGAGACGGCTGCAAGTGAACAAGCCTACCAGCAGAACCAAAAGAGCCAAAACCCAGCACCAGAGGAGAGCATGAAGCACCCGCCCGACCCCCAGAGGCCAACAAGAAAACAGCCTCGTAAAACAACCCAGAACCGAAGGGGCCACAACAAACCAAGAAGAAGAGATGAGAGCACCAAATCAAAGAACCAGGACGGCTCAAGCGGCGCAAGAACAGGCCGGGGGTGAATCACACCAGAGACAGCTTGCAAATTGGTGCAGAGAGAACACCAAAACCGAAGCAACCCGGAGCGGCTCCACCAGCGCCGCACAACACAATGCTAGCATTGGGAAGTTTTCTGTACAGCAGATGTTCCGTCCCTCATCTGAATGTGGTGATGTGATGTATGTGTCCCTCATGCGGTGTATGTGGCAAGATGATGGCCCTGAACCCCAACAAGAGAAGGACAAGACCACGCCAATAAAATGTAGCAAACCCACTAAGGGACAAAAGAAAAAGGAAGAACCGCCAAGAAACCTCACATCGCTGCCGAGACGAAGCACACAGGTGGGACACCATCAACGAAGCCACCTGATCACCAACAAATGGTGGAGACTCAAGGCAGAACCAAACCGACACCGCCATGGACGGATCAAGCATAGGAAGAGGCGAAGCTGTGGGAAAACCTCAGGTGCGAACACTGAGCAAGCAGAGCCGGAAACCCAAGCCAGCTAGGAACCAGGCGGAACATCTGCCATACAGAAAACTTCCCAATGCTAGCGAGCTCGCCAGGATATCGGAAACACTGTGGTTCCAACGCGAGACTCATGAGAAGTGACACCACGAGAACATGAAAATGCCAACTGGCAGGGCAAGCCAGGAAATCAGGAACCCAAACCCAGCAAGCCGGGAAAGAACCAACCATGGCGAACAGACACTCCCCGCCTGGGAGGACCCCCCCCCCAGGAACCACTGAAGGACAAATAAGGCCGGCAACGGATGACAACTAGAAGCCACCAGCAGAAAAAACGCTGAATCACGGACGACGCAAACAGCAAAGACAAAATTGCAATGAAAAATGAAGAGCCAGGTCCCAGGCCGAGACCAACAAGGAAGCGAGCACCGCGAACTGAAACGCAAAGCAAAAAGCAGGGACACCGCAACCCACAGGAGCGGCGAACGCAGCCCCAGCAGGGCAGGACGAAGCCTGCAATACCGAGGAAGGTATGAAGAGAACAAACCAGGACGGAACAGCACGAAAACAAAAATGCACCGCTCGAAAAGGAACACAAAGAAAAAAGCCGGAGCCAGGCCCTGAAATCTAGCACCTCCTAGCCCAACGAAAAGAAACTGCAGGGGCAGGAGAGGAAGAACAGAAGCTACAATCACCTGCATACAGGGAAACCCAGAAGATGGAAGCGCCAAGCAAGGAGAAGATGAAAACACAAGACCAGAACCGAACACGGGCAGTGCAAAAGCAGGGAACTGAGCATGGATAAAGTCCAACCTAGTAGAGCCAAGAAGCACATACTAAAACACACATCAATGTAATTACCTAAGTGTAATTACCTAAGTGTAGTTACAGGACGAGAGCTACGCTCGTGGTGTCCCGTCTTCCCAGCACTCTGTCATATAACGCTTTGTAACTACTGACGGTCTTCGTCAGTAGTTTCAAAGCGTTACATGACAAATAGACAAAGCATTATGTGTGTAGGAGAGAATGAGAAAAAAACAGAAAAATGCAAGAAAAAGACCAGAAAAATAGCCCAAGCACCAGCAGCTAGGGACAAGAGTGTAGAAGGAAGATGAGGAACGAAGATAATAGGCAGCAAGTGGGAACAAAAGGGACGTGACCTATCACACACAGAGAACCCAAGGCATATAGAAGAGCTCAGCCAGGCACTACACAACAGTCAAGGAATGAGTGACCAAGATAAGACCACGAAAGATGGGGCCGTGCCCTACCGTGTAACAAATAACACAGATGAACAAGGAAGACCACAGGAAGAAGCAGGCCATGGGCCAAACAAAACGCCACAACCAATCCCCAACACTCATCCAAAAACCAGGAACCAGCGCCATGCCCGACCGCATAAACTCACCTGCAGAGGATAGGCACGAACGTGTCGGAACACACTGTAGTCGAGAATATTCCGGGAGTACCGTTAGTGGAAGAAGGCCAGAGCAGCACGTGCAGGAAGAGAAGGGTAGAGACGAATGCGGCATCCCACACCCGTATGCAGCGAAAAACTAGGCGTCTTCCCCATATCGGTAATTCAGAACACCCCCACTTTCTACGGGGCCCGAACTGAAGAGATATGAGGAGTGAAAGAGGCGAAACACCCAAGAAGAGAAAAGGACGTGGAACACCAACACTTGCGTACACCATCCGTAACAAAAACTCCCACGGCGCATGCGCATGATGCATGAGGTACGAACCGCATAACCCGCCCAGCAGGGAGGGGACCAACTAGGAGTATTTAACACTTTTGCCACATGGTGGCACACGAGCGCGTCACTAAGTTTTGTTTGGGTTCCGCAAGGGTGACACTGGCGGGCGTCACGAGAATAAATATTTGTATAAATTCCAATTTTGATCTGATCTACTTGGGGATAGTTTAGAAATGTTCGCCATGAAATTTATGTTTTCTCTAATAGCCAAAGAGCTTATTTGGGAGAACGGCATGGCAGTGAATCATTGTGGTAAAACAATTGTATTATTGACACGACGAGTATGATCGACGTAGTTTTTATATGTTGCTGCTGGTCGAGCGCATCCTTATGTGACGTTTTATACTTATGTTCTTCTAGAACATTCTATTGCGAACACATTGGTACAAAAATGAAATACGTAAATCAAAAAATAATGTCAGGACAGTGAATTGAATATACACTTTTCAATGCGGGTTTCGCCGATATACCGCCGCGGGTAACACTTCGGCCACTTCCCACACTCTTGTGGGTGGGTTGCAACATTGATTCTATATTTATATGCATATGTCCGTGTAGAGAATTTTATTGCGATTTCAGTGATACCAAAATTAACCCTGTAGGATAAGTGTGGAGTTGAAAACCCTGAAGATAGTAGGTACATTTCGTTGCT